ATGGAACACCAGTCACTTCAAAAATGTTTACAAACTGCTTTACTCATCTCATATGTATATACTGTATTCTATTCTACTGTATTTTAGTCAATGCAACTCCGACATTGCTCGATCTAATATTTATATATTTCTTAATTCCATTATTTTATTTTTAGATGTGTGTATTGTTGTGAAATTGTTAAGATACTACTGCACTGTTGGAGCTAGGAACACAAGCATTTCGCTACACCCGCATTAACATCTGCTAAATATGTACAGTGGGGAGAACAAGTATTTGATACACTGCCGAATTTCCTACTACAAAGCATGTAGAGTCTGTAATTTTTTATCATAGGTACACTTCAACTGTGAGAAACAGAATCTAAAACAAAAATCCATAAAATCACATTGTATGATTTAAGTAATTAATTTGCATTTTATTGCATGACATAAGTATTTGATACATCAGAAAAGCAGAACTTAATATTTGGTACAGAAACCTTTGTTTGAAATTACAGAGATCATACGTTTCCTGTAGGTCTTGACCAGGTTTGCACACACTGCAGCAGGGATTTTGGCCCACTCCTCCATACAGACCTTCTCCAGATCCTTCAGGTTTCGGGGCTGTCACTGGGCAATACGGACTTTCAGCTCCCTCCAAAGATTTTCTATTGGGTTCAGGTCTGGAGACTGGCTAGGCCACTCCAGGACCTTGAGATACTTACGGAGCCACTCCTTAGTTGCCCTGGCTATGTGTTTCAGGTCGTTGTCATGCTGGAAGACCCAGCCACGACCCATCTTCAATGCTCTTACTGAGGGAAGGAGGTTGTTGGCCAAGATCTCGCGATACATGGCCCCATCCATCCTCACCCCAATACGGTGCAGTCGTCCTGTCCTCTTTGCAGAAAAGCATCCCCAAAGAATGATGTTTCCACCTCCATGCTCCACGGTTGGGATGGTGTTCTTGGGGTTGTACTCATCCTTCTTCTTCCTCCAAACACGGCGAGTGGAGTTTAGACCAAAAAGCTCTATTTTTGTCTCATCAGACCACATGACCTTCTCCCATTCCTCCTCTGGATCATCCAGATGGTCATTGGCAAACTTCAGACGGGCCTGGACATGCGCTGGCTTGAGCAGGGGGACCTTGCATGCGCTGCAGGATTTTAATCCATGACGGCGTAGTGTGTTACTAATGGTTTTCTTTGAGACTGTGGTCCCAGCTCTCTTCAGGTCATTGACCAGGTCCTGCCGTGTAGTTCTGGGCTGATCCCTCACCTTCCTCATGATCATTGATGCCCCACGAGGTGAGATCTTGCATGGAGCCCCAGACCGAGGGTGATTGACCGTCATCTTGAACTTCTTCCATTTTCTAATAATTGCGCCAAAAGTTGTTGCCTTCTCACCAAGCTGCTTGCCTATTGTCCTGTAGCCCATCCAAGCCTTGTGCAGGTCTACAATTTTATCCCTGATGTCCTTACATATCTCTCTGGTCTTGGCCATTGTGGAGAGATTGGAGTCTGTTTGATTGAGTGTGTGGATAGGTGTCTTTTATACAGGTAACAAGTTCAAACAGGTGCAGTTAATACAGGTAATGAGTGGAGAACAGGAGGGCTTCTTAAAGAAAAACTAACAGGTCTGTGAGAGCCGGAATTCTTACTGGTTGGTAGGTGATCAAATACTTATGTCATACAATGTGATTTTCTGGATTTTTGTTTTAGATTCCGTCTCTCACAGTTAAAGTGTACCTATGATAAAAATTACAGACCTTTACATGCTTTGTAAGTAGGAAAACCTGCAAAATCGGCAGTGTATCAAATACTTGTTCTCCCCACTGTATATGTGACCAATAAAATGTGATTTGATACCTCCAGCCCCAGGCCCCCAGCCCAGTGTGCATTGTATTCTGAGAGGGTTTCATCAGGGAAGTATTTGTACTCCAATGTAGTAAAGAGGAAGGTATGTCATTTTCTGGGTACAATGGTTTACTTAGTTAGTAGTAGGCCTACATGTTAAACCACTTTGAAAAGAAGGTTGACGACATCCGATCCTCGTTTGTTAAGTCTAATGACACTGCTGGTCCTGCTCACACTGCCCTACCCTATGCTTTGACTTCTTTCTCCCCTCTCTCTCCAGATAAAATCTTGCGACTAGTGACTGCAGGCCGCCCAACAACCTGCCCGCTTGACCCCATCCCCTCCTCTCTTCTCCAGACCATCTCCGGTGACCTTCTCCCTTACCTCACCTCGCTCATCAACTCATCCTTGACCGCTGGCTATGTCCCTTCCGTCTTCAAGAGAGCGAGAGTTGTACCCCTTCTCAAAAAACCAACACTCGATCCCACTGATGTCAACAACTACAGACCAGTATCCCTTCTTTCTTTTCTTTCCAAAACTATTGAGCGTGCCGTCTTTAGTCAACTCTCTTGCTATCTCTCTCAGAATGACCTTCTTGATCCAAACCAGTCAGGTTTCAGGACTGGTCATTCAACTGAGACTGCTCTTCTCTGTGTCACGGAGGCTCTCCGCACTGCTAAAGCTAACTCTCTCTCCTCTGCTCTTGTCCTTCTAGACCTGTCTGCTGCCTTTGATACTGTGAACCATCAGATCCTCCTCTCCACCCTCTCCGAGCTGGGCATCTCCGGCGCGGCTCACTCCTGGATTGCGTCCTACCTGACCGGTCGCTCCTACCAAGTGGCGTGGCGAGAAGCTGTCTCCGCACCACGTGCTCTCACCACTGGTGTCCCCCAGGGCTCAGTTCTAGGCCCTCTCCTTTTCTCCCTATACACCAAGTCACTTGGCTCTGTAATATCCTCACATGGCCTCTCCTATCATTGCTACGCTGACGATACACAACTAATCTTCTCCTTTCCCCCTTCTGATAACCAGGTGGCGAATCGCATCTCTGCATGTCTGGCCGACATATCAGTATGGATGACGGATCACCACCTCAAGCTGAACCCTGGCAAGACGGAGCTGCTCTTCCTCCCGGGGAAGGACTGCCCGTTCCATGATCTCGCCATCACGGTTGACAACTCCGTTGTGTCCTCCTCCCAGAGTGCGAAGAGCCTTGGCGTGACCCTGGACAACACCCTGTCGTTCTCCGCTAACATCAAGGTGGTGACCCGATCCTGCAGGTTCATGCTCTACAACATTCGGAGAGTACGACCCTGCCTTACACAGGAAGCGGCACAGGTCCTAATCCAGGCACTTGTCATCTCCCGTCTGGATTACTGCAACTCGCTGTTGGCTGGGCTCCCTGCCTGTGCCATTAAACCCCTACAACTCATCCAGAATGCCGCAGCCCGTCTGGTGTTCAACCTTCCCAAGTTCTCTCACGTCACCCCCCTCCTCCGCACACTCCACTGGCTTCCAGTTGAAGCTCGCATCCGTTACAAGACCATGGTGCTTGCCTATGGAGCAGTGAGGGGAACGGCACCTCCGTACCTTCAGGCTCTGATCAGTCCCTACACCCAAACGAGGGCATTGCGTTCATCCACCTCTGGCCTGCTGGCTCCCCTTCCTCTGCGGAAGCATAGTTCCCGCTCAGCCCAGTCAAAACTGTTCGCTGCTCTGGCTCCCCAATGGTGGAACAAGCTCCCTCACGACGCCAGGACAGCGGAGTCACTCACCACCTTCCGGAGACATTTGAAACCCCACCTCTTTAAGGAATACCTGGGATAGGATGAAGTAATCCGTCTAGCCCCCCCCCCCCCCCCCCCAAAAATAAAATAAAATAAAAAATAAAAAAATTTGTTGTAAAGTGGTTAACCCACTGGCTATAGGGTGAATGCACCAATTTGTAAGTCGCTCTGGATAAGAGCGTCTGCTAAATGACTTAAATGTAAATGTTAAATGTTATTCAAACTCTATCCCAAGAACTTTATACAATAACTAGACCCCACAGTTCGATCCATCTGGAACTCTGTCTGAGCATCAAGGACCATTTTGTTTGTGTTGGGAGGTCAAGAGGTTGCTAAGTTATTCTCATTTACTGTGTAATTTATCTCACCTTTGTTAAGATGCAGGTGCCTACAGGGTAAAAATAGCCATTCAACCAGTTTTTAAAAAGAGAAAACAGAACATTCTGCTCCATTGCACTCCATTGTAAAGTGCAAGGGTGCCAATATATTTGACCGCAACCGTCTGCATGATGTCCAACTAAGCTTTGATATCCACCACCAAGTACCGTAAGTCAAAAAATTAATAAAATATGGTGTGTCTATGTCTGTAAGTTGCTACAGTATGTCTGATATTTGTCTCAAACATTTTTCTCCGCTGCTGCTTTCTTTGTTGGACCAGGTCTCTCTTGAAAAATTGATTTTATCTCAATGAGACTAACCTGGATAAATAAAGGTTAAATAAATAAAAGAAAGTCAGTGTTAACAGAACAATAGAAGCCAGGGGATTCAAACACAGCAAATGTATTGCTCAAAAAATTATATACATGAAAGTACAATTGTACAAGTGGATTTAACAAATGTTTTTCCTGGAACATAATCCATGACCCACTTATCAGGGAAGCTTTCAGATCTAATATGTACTTTAAGATCCAATATGTTTACTGACCTAAAAGGTGTTGGTTTTTCATTAAATACATTATTAATCAGGGTGGAATGATATTTATCTACACAATCATAAACAGTTCAGATATCTGCAAGTGACTCAAAGTAGGCCTATTTTATCCAAGAATGGTTGAATAAATGCCAGGTGCTTTCACATCATGTATGCAGTATTGGAACGAAACCATCATGTTTACAGAAAAGTAAACATTTGAGATTTTTGCAACAATTGACAATCAAAAAAGCTCTGAAAAAATATGATAAAATTGGTGCTGGTTCTTTGTGGTTTTTGTTTGAAAGTGAACATTCAAATAAGCGAGGCAGGAACAGTCCTCTAGTAGTAGTGAGATACTGCTATGGTGAGATATCATATGCATTCTTCGGTCTTTGCCTCCTGATTTAATGGGCTTGACCAATAAGCAAAAACATGTCTCCAAACCTCGGCTGCATTCCCATCGGCACCCTAATCTCTATGTGTAGTGCACTTTGCATCCTTTGCTGGTGCTCCTGCCTGGCCACCATCTCCTTCGCCCACAGCCCTTCTTTCTCCCTCCCCCTGGGCCGTCCCAGTGCAGGCTACCTCCTGTGGGGTCCAGTCCCAGCGCCACACATGAAGCATGTGGTCATAGAATGAGCAGCTGGCCATTAGGCAGGACACTGCAGGGCTGTCCTCTGCAGGGTTAGGACAGGGAGGTGGGCCTGCCACAGAGCTAGCAGATGGCGGGGATAAACTCTCAGGTATGTAACGTCCTGCATCATCCTCCAAGGAGGTGTCGAAGCTGGCAGTGGGAGATTCATACTGAATCCTCAGGTGTCCTCCTGTATGGCTCTCTGTATGGGACTGTCTTGGCTCTGTGGTCTCCAGAGGGGAGCAGGGAGGAGGCTCCTCCAGGGAAACCTGGGACCAGTCAGCCCCATAGGCCAGGGAGTTGTGGAGGATGTAGGAGGCTAGGACAGAACACGCTCCTCCGCTGCCCTCTAGAGGAATAAGTCAATATTACAGGTTTGACAAAATGACAAAACATTACTTATAATAATAATATGCCATTTAGCAGACGCTTTTATCCAAAGCGACTTACAGTCATGTGTGCATACATTTTTGTGTATGGGTGGTCCCGGGGATCGAACCCACTACCCTGGCGTTACAAGCGCCGCGCTCTACCAGCTGAGCTACAGAGGACCACATTACTTGGGTCTTATTCATTAGAACACAGGGTAGAAAAACGTTTGCAATTAAATACTAAGTGTTTCTTATTGGACAAATTCAGGTAGGCCCCTCCCTGTTTCAGTTGGTTCCGTGTGAATACGACCCAGCTCTTTAATCAGACAGACATGGTAGTTGTGGCAAAGCGGCAAGTTTTCATGTGACCAGCATCACGTCCCAGACAGTCAGACTCACCCAGAGCTTGCTGGCAGTGAAGGATGTGGAAGTCGTTGTGCATGCAGGCAGCCAACAGCAAGTGCTCATGGGTAGGATGCCACTTCAGTCTCCACACTCCTCCACCCAGAGCACTCTCACTGAGAGGCTGACGCATGTTCCTCTCATCCCACAGGAGCACCTGCTCGTCATAGCTACAGGACAGGAGAGAGTTCACATGATTCACTGCATCTCAAATGGAACCCTATTCCCTATATAGTGCACTACGTTTGAACAGAGCCCTAGGGGCCCTGGTCAAAAGTAGTGCACTACATTGTGAACAGTGTGCCATTTCGGACGCAAGCACTATAGTGATCGTACGGGCCTTAGGGTTTGACACCAATCCGTAACATCAATTAGTATGTTGATAGAAACAATTGATTACTCAGCTTCTCTCCCAGGAACACATAGTGAATATAAAGGGGAGCTTGATGAATACAAGGATTATAGTATATTACAATATCAGCCTGGCCTTGTGAAAATAAAACACTTGACTCAAATAGTGAAATCAATGTTCATTTACCTGCCTGTGGCTAGAATGCGCTCCCGATGTGGGCTACTGTGTACACTGCATACACCCATCGAGTGCCTTCAAGAAGAAAAATAAAATGTATTATTGGTTACATGTTGATTTAAGACATGTTTCTGATGCATCTACTTACTTTGCCATGGGTATGGCGAATGCATTTTGACCGCGTATTGTGTCAACATTCATTGGTATCTCTCACCTCTTGCTGGTGAATGTGGGCGAAGAGGGACCCATCCTAAGATCCCATCCCTTAAGTTTGCAGTCATCCCCGCCTGCCAGGTGCATTTCATTCAGATGACAACACAGACACACACACATGACAACACAGACACACACACACAGGACAGGTTGGTAATGTTGAAATTATTCTGCTAGCATGCAGACAACAGTAAACATGAGGTCACCAGCTGAACTTGCTGCTATGGAAGATAAAAACATAGGATGCATGTCACAATACTTTTTAAAACATGAAGATCCCCTGTCTGCTCAAAAAGCATGACAACCCTGATCATCTTATTAAGGCAAAGTGTAAACATCATCATCACACAAGGAGGGGCAAACATTTAGGTGCAGAAACACAGACCGATAGACAGAAAATAGGATGGGTAACACATAACTTGACAGGAGGGTAATGAGCACTAAGCAGCCTGTATTAGATAGATGTGTTTTGAGAGCGAGTGTTACCGGAGTAGACAAGCTGAGTATCCCAGTAAGAGAAGGCTGAGATCCAGGCTTCAAAGTCATGGGCCTTCCACTGTGACACAGCAGTCAGACTGTTCTCCCCTAGGGACAAGACGTTGACACAGCCTGCAGAGTCACTGGACACCACACGCACGTCACTACTGCAGAGAGGAAGAGAGGATACACCGGCTGTGTCTCGAATGGTACCCCATTCCCTATATTGTGCACTACTTTTAATGACATAAATTAGTTCTATATCCTAAACAATTCTATTGTGCTGTTCTATCCCTAACAGTATTAAAACGTAAAATGACTTAAAATGCATAGCCGTGGGAAGTAAAATTGAAAAGAGAAGACTAATCTGTCCATAGAAGCCAACAAATTTTTTTGCAACAACTTTTGAGCGATTCTGAGCGAACAACACTGTTTTTCTATGTAGCTTATCTTGAGATAAGCTATTGGCACGAGTGCATCGGCCATCACAGGTGAGTAGTCTAAGCTTCATCTTCATCATTCAGTGCCACTGGAAAGTTTATTTAGTAGCCTACTGTAACCTATAATATACACTGAGTGTACAAAACATTAGGAACACCTTTGTAATATTGAGTTGCACCCCCTTTTGCCCTCAGAACAGCCTCAATTCGTCAGGGCATGGACTCTACAAGGTGTCGAAAGCGTTCCACAGGGATGCTGGCCCATGTTTTCCACAGTTGTGTCAAGTTGGCTGGATGTCCTTTGGGTGGTGGACCATTCTTGATACACACAGGAAACTGTTGAGCGTGAAAAACCCAACAGCGCTGCAGTTGTGACTGGCACCTACTACCATACCCTGTTCAAAGGCACTTCAATCTTTTGTCTTGCCCATTCACCCTCTGAATGACACACAAACACAATCCATGTCTCAATTGTCTCAAGGTTTAAAAATAAAATGAAAATAAGGGGGATTAGAAATTATGCATACAATTAAATTGATAGAACCTACAATCTGCAATATTAAAGCTGTTCTATCCCCCAAAAATATACAAATTATGTATTTTATCATGTAAATTACGTTTCTAAAAAGGCCCATTTATTTCAAGACCCTGCTAAAAAAAAATCCCCATGTGTGAAAATCAAAAACAAAACGCCTCTGTTCAACTGTATGCCACTACGCAAATGTGACTATAGATGCATACAATTCCTTATTATTAACTCGAAACATACAAACAAACTTACCGCGCATATGCTTACATTTTGAAATGTTACTGATTATTAGAACATTAGTTGTCCAATCTGTGGTCTTTAGTAACCTCCCATGCAGCGTTCAGTATATCCCAAATGAAGCCATGATCCTCACCTGTTACCTCTTCCAGTGGACCAATCTAATGACAGAGCCAACTTATCAGGTCCCAGTCCCAAACAGCTCACAATCTTCAGAGCACAGCGGCCTTCCTACTGGAGACACATATCCATAAGAGCAGGGCCCAAAGCTAGGGTTGCACAATTCCCTCGTTTTTCAGAAACCCGGATTTTGTGCTTATTCCATCCTGATTCCAGTAATATTGCAATCGGGATATCTGGAAAACCAGGGAATTTGGGGAAGTTACCTAGCCCAAACACACTTTAACATAATGGACATGGATATTCGACAGTGAGTGAATCTTATCAACCTGACTGTCTATGAGTCGGTGCAGCTGTAGCTCCCCACTTGCTGTAGCCATGCCCAACAGAGGCCTCTCTGACACTGGCACATGACACCTGAGAAAAGAGGTATAGTAACAAAGTCATCATCAAGGCCAGGTGGAGAACCTCCATTGAAATAGCTTTTTAGTCTAGTCTAGGAAACGAGCCCAAACTGAAAAAAGTTTGTAGCTGTTTGCATTATCTTACCATTTCAGATCTAATATTGCTGGTGTATCAATCCGCTGCAGCTCACTGAGGGGCGGACACATAGGTCCTTGTTGACGAAACTTGAACAGGTACAGTCGGCCAATCCGAGTGGCCGCGTCCTCTGCTCCCTGATGATTGCACAATGAGAGAACTGTCACACCACCTTATACACACACCAGAGTCTCAACATGTATGAGAAGTAACAACTTTCTGATATACAGTCAGTGAAATACATCGGGGTGTATACAGTCATACACTAAATGGCCAAAAGTATGTGGACACCTACTCATCAAACATCTCATTCCAAAATCATGGGCATTAATATGGAGTTGGTCCCTCCTTTGCTGCTATAACAGCCTCCACTCTTCTTGGAAGGCTTTCCACTAGATGTTGGAACATTGCTGCGGGGACTTACTTCCATTCAGCCACAAGAGCATTAGTGAGGTCGGGCACTGATGTTGGGCGATTAGGCCTGGCTCGCAGTTGCGTTCCAATTCATCCCAAAGGTGTTTGATGGAGTTGAGGTCAGGGCTCTGTGCAGGCCAGTCAAGTTCTTCCACACCGATCTCGACAAATCATTTCTGTATGGACCTCACTTTGTGCATGGGGGCATTGTCATGCTGAAACAGGAAAGTACCTTCCCCAAACTGTTGCTACAAAGTTGGAAGCACAGAATAGACTAGAATGTAATTGTATGCTGTAGCATTAAGATTTCCCTTCCCTGGAACTAAGGGGCCTAGCCCGAACCATGAAAAACAGCCCCAGACCATTATTCCTCCTCCACCAAACTTTACAGTTGGCACTATGCATTCGGGCAAGTAGCGTTCTACGGGCATCCTCCAAACCCAGACTGCCAGATGGTGAAGGGTGATTCATCACTCCAGAGAACGCGTTTCCACTGCTCCAGAGTCCAATAGCTGCGAGTTTAATAGTTGCAACCGATAACATACGATTGTTACGTGTTACATGCTTCACCACTCCAATTCTGTGAGCCGTTGTTGCTCCTAGACGTTTCCACTTCACAATAACAGCACTTAGTTGACCGGGGCAGCTCTAGCAGGCCAGACATTTGACGAACTGACTTGTTGGAAAAGTGGCATCCTATGACGGTGCCATGTTGAAAGTCACTGAGCTCTTCAGTAAGGCCATTCTACTGCCAATGTTTTCTATGGAGATTGCATGGCTGTGTGCTCGATTTTATAGACCCGTCAGCAACGGGTGTGGCTGAAATAGCGGAATCCACTCATTTGAAGGGGTATCCACATACCCTATATATACAAAAGTACCTTGGCTTTGATTGTCTGTTTGTCTAACAATAGTGTCTACAGTCTTACCGCATCTGGCCCCTTCTGCAGTTGATATGTTCCACATGCCAGTATGTTGTGCCACTGTGAGATGGGGCACCACTCCACTGTGTCGGCACTCAGCTCTGTGTCGAACACCTGTAGACTGCGGGTCCTTGACTTCCAAGCCATCGCAAGATGTTCTGCATATTACTGGACCACAGCACCGGTCAAATCTGTAAATATGGACAGTGTCAACAATTATTATGCCAAGATAACACAGCCCACTATCACCATCAACAACATGAACATGGGTAACATAACATAGAATTGCATCAAATATTAGTTAACTAACTACCTAGCTAACTATTGAACTGCTGGTTGAGATACATGCAACACGAACAAGCTAGCCTTCAGCTAGCGCACATATTTAGCAAAACAAGCACTAGCTAGCTATTATTGACCTCCCTACAAGGCTAGCAACAGGCATCAAGACGAACATCTAGCTAGCTACACCGTTCAAACTATAGTATTTCGACTTAATTCTAACGTACATAATATCCCAATAAGCTATCTTTGTTTACAGATCAACATATATTCTGAGAAAGAAGTTAGAAACATACATGTGAAGCAGCTATTCGGCTGGCAAACACTTCCTGATTAACGCTGCGACGTCTCCGACTGGAGGGCTACATTCAGCATCGAAACGTGGCACAATGTTACAGAGACGTGGGGTAGCACTGGTAACCACACACAGTGTAGGTTCCCTGACCATCAGCTCATGTCTACACCAACACAAAATATGGATGGAAATCTACCGTTGACCCAATCATCGTACTGCACCGTGGTAGATAAAAAGGACCAGTCTAAACTAATATGCTACACGCATACAAAATCTGGGATATTCATTGTTGGGTGAGTGTTGATAGCTATCTACCCATTTCCGTATGGGTAGAAACCATGCGTTTCTAACAACGTAAACTGACCAGAGAACTGACCTAGCGCGCTACAGTAGTTTTGGACATGTAGCTAACTATTTATTATACAGTAGCGATTATACATGTTTGCTCAAATAGAGAGGCGATCTCATCGACTCGGGTGAAACACAGTAAACTCGTGCTGCAGTGTTCAGGCTAGTGCTAACAACAATAACAACAAAGCTACCTCTAGTGGTGCCATATAGAGATTGGTATAATATTCACCTGTAAAGAAAGATCCATGATATTGGTGTAGTAACACATGCAGCTAACCTCATACTTGTTTTCTGTTTCAGCTTGACAAATGCCTCTGATGTGTGGTGCACAGATTTCACTGAGGAGACGTTGAACCAGTTTGTACGTATCCTGTAAAAAGTAGTAATTTCTTAACTAATTATATTGGCATTCCCCCTCTGTATATGACAACAAAATGACATGCACATTTATTTTCAGAGACAGAAGTTTGCCTTAAAGTCAACAGAGGATTATATCCTGAAAATCAAGTATGTTTATCCCATTTCCCAGTTTATTTTAATCCAAGGACCTCATGCACTCCTTGAGATCCTTTTCACTTTCCATGCCTTTACAATACTTGCATATTCCTTTTATTCCTCCCCTCTCCTACGTTGTTCCAGGTCTGCGTGTGGGAGTGGGAGTGTGTCAGTATCGGTGCAGGACACCAGTGCAGTGCTCTATGTAGGGGCCAGTCCAGGAGGGCTGAGTGTGACTCTGTCCAGACTGAAAGAACAAGAGGCTAAAGAGGTTCTGAGAGAACTGCTGTTTAGAATGGCGGACAGCCTGACCCATTTAAACAATACTGGTGAGGTTAGGGACAAAGCTCTCATACAGCATACAAAGTTCTCCTCACATACTGTACTCTTTCTGATCTAGGGAAGGTCTTGCTAACTGCTGTTACAGAATGCATGTGTACTCTTAACACACATACTCTTTATGTTCTCTGTTGTGTTACTGTGTTCTGTCCAGCAGGCCCTGCCTCATTCAGTCCTGGGAAGAGTCCGCACAAACGGAATACAGGTGCTGTGCTAAGTTCTCTTCATCTTATTTTTTCCATGGATGTTTTTTTTTTATTGCCTTGGTAAATTACAATAGAACATAGCTCATCCTCATAGATATAGAGGTGTATTAGGAACGATGATGTACAGTACCAGTCAAAAGTTTGGACACACCTTCTCATTCAAGGGTTTTTCTTTCTTTTTTTAATTATTTTCTACATTGTAGAATAATAGTGAAGACATCAAAACTATGAAATAACACATGGAATCATGTAGTGACCCAAAAAGTGTTAAACAAATCAAAATATATTTAATATTTTAGATTCTTCAAAGTAGCCACCCTTTGTGTTGATGACAGCTTTAAACACTCTTGGCATTCTCTCAACCAGCTTCACTTGGAATGCTTTTCCAACAGTCTTGAAGGAGTTCCCACATATGCTGAGCACTTGTTGGCTGCTTTTCCTTCACTCTGCCATCCGACTCATCCCAAACCATCTCAATTGGGTTGAGGTCGGGTGATTGTGGAGGCCAGGTCATCTGATGCAGCACTCCATCACACTCCTTCTTGGTCAAATAGCCCTTACACAGCCTGGAGGTGTGTTGGGTCATTGTCCTGTTGAAAAACAGATGATAGTCCCACTAAGCCCAAACCAGATGGGATGGCGTATCGCTGCAGAATGCTGTGGTAGCCATGCTGGTTAAGTGTGCCTTAAATTCTAAATAAATCACAGACAGTCACCAGCAAAGCACCCCCACTCCATAACACCTCTTCCTCCATGCTTTACGGTGGGAAATACACATGCAGAGATCATCCATTCACCCACACTGTGTCTCACAAAGCCACGGCGGTTGGAACCAAAAATCTCCAATTTGGAATCCAGACCAAAGGACACATTTCCACCAGTCTACTGTCCATTGCTCGTGTTTCTTGGCCCAAGCAGGTCTCTTCTTCTTATTGGTGTCCTTTAGTAGTGGTTTCTTTGCAGCAGTTCGACCATGAAGGCCTGATTCACACAGTCTCCTCTGAACAGTTGATGTTGAGATGTGTCTGTGGCTTGAACTTTGTGAAGCATTTATTTGGGCTGCAATTTCTGAGGCTGGTAACTCTAATGAACTTAGCCTCTGCAGCAGAGGTAACTCTGGGTCTTCCATTCCTGTGGCGGTCCTCATGAGCGCCAGTTTCATCATAGCGCTTGATGGTTTTTGCGACTGCACTTGAAGAAACATTCAAAGTTCTTGACATTTTCCGTATTGACTGACCTTCATGTCTTAAAGTAATGATGGACTGTTGTTTCTCTTTGCTTATTTGAGTTGTTCTTGCCATAATATCGACTTGGTATTTTACCAAATAGGGCTATTTACATTTACATTTTAGTCATTTAGCAGACGCTCTTATCCAGAGCGACATACAGTTAGTGCATACATGTATTTTTATTTTTCATACTGGTCCCCCGTGGGAAACGAACCCACAGCCCTGGCGTTGCAAACGCAATGCTCTACCAACTGAGCTACACGGGCTATCTTCTGTATACCCCCCTACCTTGTCACAACACAACTGATTGGCTCAAACGCATTAAGATGGAAATAAATTCCACAAATTAACTTTTAAGAAGGCACACCTGTTAATTGAAATGCATTCCTGGTGACTACCTCATGAAGCTGGTTGAGAGAATGCCAAGAGTGTGCAAAGCTGTCATCAAGGCAAAGGGTGGCTATTTGAAGAATCTAAAATATTAAATTTATTTTGATTTGTTTAACACTTTTTGGGTTACTAAGTGATTCCATATGTGTTATTTCATAGTTTTGATGTCTTCACTATTATTCTACAATGTAAAAATAAAGAAAAACCCTTGAATGAGTAGGTGTGTCCAAACTTTTGACTGGTACTGTATAGTAAATGGTACTCTTGCTCTTTTCAGACTTTGAGCCAAGGAAACGGCAGCAGAGTGGCCAAAATATGGCAGTCAAGAAGCGTCTCCCAGGAGATTCTCTCATCAACCCAGGAACTAAGAGGTAGGTACCTTCTGAGATCAGGACAGTGCCTGTGTCCCAAATGGCACCCTATCTCATATATAGTGTACTACTTCTTACCAGGGCCCATAGGTCTCAGATCAAAAGTAGTGCACTATAAAGGGATAGGCCCTTGTCCCTAAATAGTGCACTAGTTTAAAGGGATGGGCCCTTGTCAAAAGAAGTACACTATAACTGGAATAATGTGGCATTTGGGACGTATCAATGGACTGTATTTACATGCATCTGGGTGCAAATGATGTAAAGAGACAAGTTGACTATTATTTATGTTTTTCTGACCTTTTTCAGAAAGCGTCAAGCAACCGGGGTGGCATTTGATGATGAAGACGATTAATTATGATTTGCTATGAGAAATAACCACAGTTGTTTTCCATCCTCGCTATCACATTTCTCCAGCATACAAACAATATAGTGCATGAATGTTCTTTTAATCCACTGACACTAAACCATACAACAAAAATATATACCTATTTAATGAATACTGTCCAAATGATGACAATCTGCTTTTTAAATTAATCTGCTTTTTAAATAATAAAAAAAAAAAATCTGCTTTTTAAGGACTGATGGGGGTGTGTCCCAAATGGTACTCATTCCCTATTTGGTGCACTACTTTTGACCAGAGCCCTATGGGTCATGATCAAAAGTAGTGCACGATATAGGGAATGGGGTGCAATTTGAGACGCAGTCATTATCATTAACTCAATCATTATCATTAACTCAATCACTGTGGGAAGACTTGAAACATTTTAAAATGTATTTTAACTTTGTAATAAACATTACTTTTTAAAGCCATTCTCCTTGTCCAATCAGTCATGTTGATTCGTTCTAATAACATCATTATTATTTTTAACAAGTTAGACAAATCTGCTCAGGAAACCATGAAATGGATACTGTATATCAGACTACTATTCTCATATCTTTATTGTAAGCAAAATGACTGCAAGCTTTCAAAGAGCATGTACAGTAAACAATTTGGTTCTAATACCTAACGTTGAAGGTAGCTACTAGAATACTGTAATTAAATGTTTGAATAAAACCATAGATAGAAAGGACCCAATTGATACCTGATTTATTTGTCATTTTTTTTGTTTAAAAGTCCAGATCACCCAACGTGAAGCACATAATACAACAACAGTAGAATCAGCAACAAGTCCAAATGTAACGCAAGAAGAACAAATATGAACAGATGCTTTACAACAGAAAAATGTCAGACATATTTTCATAAAATATATAGATATTATTTATATTAATATGCACACGTACACAACCTGGATAAATTCCAAAGCATTTTTGCCTTAGAGCAAAGCCAAGTAATCACTAGATTGATAAAAAAAAAAAAATCATAGTATTTGCACCCATGTAGAATTGCACCCAATTCTCATATTTGCTGGTGTCGTTAAAAAACAGTGTGTTTTACTTTTACTCCAGAGACCAAGCTTTTTTTTTGCTAAGGGGAAACTTCAAATACCTTTCAGTATTCAGATATGTGTTGGGTGGCAACAAAAGTTTAATAGATCAAATAATGATCAAAACCATCTAAAATGGTCCTAAACCACATCGCTGTTCCTTTGAGGTCCAGAGTCACAGAACTCTAGTTAAAGTAGAGCATCACGGTCATCATTTAGTCTGAGTTAAAGGACACAAGTTAGCCTCAAGTTCATTTCATATTTCCTCACGGCTTTTCAGATTCAACATAACAAGGTAGCATTAATTAACACATTTCAAAGACAGGCTTGGTTTCTCATTTTCATATTAGTTCACATGAAAAATTATTATTTTGTCCTGGACTTCAGTAAAACATTTCACCTACTTTACATTCTGAGGAAAACAAATTACAATGATCAGTTTCCTTGTTTAATAGTATAAGGATAACAACCACCCCAGTCAAGATTTTTTTTGCAAATAAATCCAAGTAGGTCCCACATTAACAAATCACCAAAATATGTGTTAAATTACATAGAATTAGTCCATGAAATAACTTAAGCAATTTCTGAGAGGAATAAAGCAAGATCACAACTACAGTGAGGGAAAAAAGTATTTGATCCCCTGCTGATTTTGTACGTTTTCCCACTGACAAAAACATGATCAGTCTATAATTTTAATGGTAGGTTTATTTGAACAGTGAGAGACAGAATAACAACAAAAAATCCTGAAAAACGCATGTCAAAAATGTTATAAATTGATTTGCATTTTAATGAGGGAAATAAGTATTTGACCCCCTCTTAATCAGAAAGATTTCTGGCTCCCAGGTGTCTTTTATACAGGTAATGAGCTGAGATTAGGAGCACACACTTAAAGGGAGTGCTCCTAATCTCAGTTTGTTACCTGTTTAAAAGACACCTGTCCACAGAAGCAATCAATCAATCAGATTCCAAACTCTCCACCATGGCCAAGACCAAAGAGCTCTCCAAGGATGTCAGGGACAAGATTGTAGACCTACACAAGGCTGGAATGGGCTATAAGACCATCGCCAAGCAGCTTGGTGCGAAGGTGACAACAGTTGGTGCAATTATTCGCAAATGGAAGAAACACAAAAGAACTGTCAATCTGCCTCGGCCTGGGGCTCCATGCAAGATCTCACCTTGTGGAGTTGCAATGATCATGAGAACGGTGAGGAATCAGCCCAGAACTACACGGGAGGATCTTGTCAATGATCTCAAGGCAGCTGGGACCATAGTCACCAAGAAAACAATTGGTAACACACTACGCCGTGAAGGACTAAAATCCTGCAGCGCCCGCAAGGTCCCCCTGCTCAAGAAAACACATATACAGGGCCGTCTGAAGTTTGCCAATGAACATCTGAATGATTCAGAGGAGAACTGGGTGAAAGTGTTGTGGTCAGATGAGACCAAAATGGAGCTCTTTGGCATCAACTCAACTCGCCGTGTTTAGAGGAGGAGGAATGCTGCCTATGACCCCAAGAACTCCATCCCCACCGTCAAACATGGAGGTGGAAACATTATGCTTTGGGGGTGTTTTTCTGCTAAGGGGACAGGACAACTTCACCGCATCAAAGGGACGATGGACGGGGCCATGTACTGTCAAATCTTGGTTAGAACCTCCTTCCCTCAGCCAGGGCATTGAAAATGGGTCGTGGATGGGTATTCCAGCATGACAATGACCCAAAACACACGGCCAAGGCAACAAAGGAGTGGCTCAAGAAGAACACATTAAGGTCCTGGAGTGGCCTAGCCAGTCTCCAGACCTTAATCCCATAGAAAATCTGTGGAGGGAGCTGAAGCTGAGTGGGACAAAATTCCTCCTGAGATGTGTGCAAAACTGGTGGCCAACTACAAGAAACGTCTGACCCTATCCCCTCCTCTCTTCTCCAGACCATCTCCGGTGACCTTCTCCCTTACCTCACCTCGCTCATCAACTCATCCTTGACCGCTGGACTATGTCCCTTCCGTCTTCAAGAGAGCGAGAGTTGTACCCGTTCTCAAAAAAACCAACACTCGATCCCTCTGATGTCAACAACTACAGACCAGTATCCCTTCTTTCTTTTCTCTCCAAAACTCTTGAGCGTGCCGTCTTTAGCCAACTCTCTTGCTATCTCTCTCAGAATGATCTTCTTGATCCAAACCAGTCAGGTTTCAAGACTGGTCATTCAACTGAGACTGCTCTTCTCTGTGTCACGGAGGCTCTCCGCACTGCTAAAGCTAACTCTCTCTCCTCTGCTCTTGTCCTTCTAGACCTGTCTGCTGCCTTTGATACTGTGAACCATCAGATCCTCCTCTCCACCCTCTCCGAGCTGGGCATCTCCGGCGCGGCTCACTCTTGGATTGCGTCCTACCTGACCGGTCGTTCCTACCAAGTGGCGTGGTGAGAATCTGTCTCCGCACCACGTGCTCTCACCACTGGTGTCCTCCAGGGCTCAGTTCTAGGCCCTCTCCTATTCTCGCTATACACCAAGTCACTTGGCTCTGTCATATCCTCACATGGCCTCTCCTATCATTGCTACGCAGACGACACACAACTAATCTTCTCCTTTCCCCCTTCTGATAACCAGGTGGCGAATCGCATCTCTGCATGTCTGGCAGACATATCAGTGTGGATGACGGATCACCACCTCAAGCTGAACCTCAGCAAGATGGAGCTGCTCTTCCCGGGGAAGGACTGCCCGTTCCATGATCTCACCTTAACGGTTGACAACTCCGTTGTGTCCTCCTCCCAGAGTGCGAAGAGCCTTGGCGTGACCCTGGACAACACCCTGTCGTTTTCTCCGCTAACATCAAGTCGGTGACCCGATCCTGTAGGTTCATGCTCTACAACATTCGGAGAGTACGAACCCTGCCTTACACAGGAAGCGGCACAGGTCCTAATCCAGGCACTTGTCATCTCCCGTCTGGATTACTGCAACTCGCTGTTGGCTGGGCTCCCTGCCTGTGCCATTAAACCCCTACAACTCATCCAGAATGCCGCAGCCCGTCTGGTGTTCAACCTTCCCAAGTTCTCTCACGTCACCCCGCTCCTCCGCACACTCCACTGGCTTCCAGTTGAAGCTCGCATCTGCTACAAGACCATGGTGCTTGCCTACGGAGCTGTGAGGGGAACGGCACCTCCGTACCTTCAGGCTCTGATCAGTCCCTACACCCAAACGAGGGCATTGCGTTCATCCACCTCTGGCCTGCTGACCCCCCTACCTCTGCAGAAGCACAGTTCCCGCTCAGCCCAGTCAAAACTGTTCGCTGCTCTGGCACCCCAATGGTGGAACAACCTCCCCCACGACGCCAGGACAGCGGAGTCACTCACCACCTTCCGGAGACACTTGAAACCCCACCTCTTTAAGGAATACCTGGGATAGGATAAAGTAATCCTTCTCCCCCCCCTTACCCCACCCCCCAAAAAAACAATAATTAAAAAAAACAATACATATTGTAAAGTGGTTATCCCACTGGCTTTAAGGTGAATGCACCAATTTGTAAGTCGCTCTGGATAAGAGCGTCTGCTAAATGACGTAAATGTAAATGTAATTGCCAACAAGGGTTTTGCCACCAAGTACTAAGTCATGTTTTGCAGAGGGGTCAAATACTTATTTCCCCCATTAAAATGCAAATCAATTTATAACATTTATAACATGCGTTTTTCTGGATTTTTTTGTTGTTATTCTGTCTCTCACTGTTCAAATAAACCTACCATTAAAATTATAGACTGATCATGTCTTTGTCAGTGGTCAAATATACAAAATCAGCAGGGGATCAAATACTTTTTTCCCTCACTGTATATCTTCACAACACAAACACCCCATGAAAATATCCAGTTCAAATCACATGCCAACATACATATTCAAGAAATGACAAACATTTCCCTTTATTAATGATGTGGTGTGGGTGTTCTTCATAATTCAAATGTGCTCCAACTTCCAAAAGATAAGTCAACTGACTTTAAAGCATCTTGTAAATCATACAAGCTCAAGTTCAAACTAAACAACGATCTGAAAGTTCAACTTCTTTGTCTCACAGTGATGGTAGTGCAGTAGTGTATGCTTATTATTGTAAATCCTGTGTGTCCTTTCTTATAGGTATTACATGATAGAGTTATTATTAAGTTCAGTTCTTTTCACGGTTTTTGATTACTTAAATTATCTTGTTGATTACCTTCATTGTAAAGTAAGTTATTACATAGTGTCCAACATAGGATCTTGTCAAAAGAATCCAAATCATTATGATTTGTAGAAGCACAAAATAAAGCGTTCAGTAGAAAGTGCTCTAATTATCATGTCGAGACAAAAATATACAGTGTCCAAATAAAGAGGCTAGAGATTTGGGAGGCACCATCAGCATCATCAACATATAGAATAATTATGTTACATTGTATTAAAACAGGAAATCTAGTGCAGCTTTCCTCTGTGACTCACTTAGTCTAGTAAAGTGATTTCAAATAAAAGGCCAACGATTCAGGACTCAATTCAAAACTTACCACTTTCCAAAGTGCACTTACTTAGCTATAAACCATCATCAGTTATTGAGAAATCAATCACAGATCAGACATCTGTCCCGTATACATTTCAATATCTAAAATAAATCATTCTTCTTGCCACAGAAAAATATAGATATATACTGTATGACACAACACTAGTTTGACTGGTTTCATGACAGCATGCTCCAAGGCAGGTAGAGGATTTTAAAAGGAGGGGAGGGGAGGGTGGGGGCATCTCTGGTTGAATAGGAACACTGAGTCCCAAATGGCACCCTATTCCCTTCAGTACATAATGCACTACTTTTGAACAGAGCCCCATGGGCCCTGGTCAAAAGTAGTGCACTATATAGGGAATAGGGTGCCATTTAGGACGCACCCTTGTACTTTGGCAGGGACGGAACACATTTGACCAATGTTGAATCACAAATTCACTGCGTCAAACATCTGATAAAAGATTAAACTCAGTAAGGTGGTCATATCAGAAGGAATTATATGATACTTTGTGACATCATCAGCAATGAATGAAGCCAACTTACTAGTAGCGACATTAATACATAATCAAACCTTTTGATTTCAGTCCTTTCTAGACAGACCACATTGGATTTCAGTGTACATATACATTCTAAAAAATAAATACATATAAACATTCCTATAACAACACATCTCCATTAAAATGCAAGCATTCTCACTGTAGCAGTATGTTTCCCATGACAGAATACCTATCTCTTCGTCACCTCAGCCTTTAACCATGGCTGACTCTGTGACAGCTTTGAGAGGCTGACTTCACTTCTCTGTCCTTCTCCTCTCTGTCCCACTGCATCTCCTTCTCTGAGTCCAATCCTCAGTCTCTGTCACTGTTAGGTGCTTGAGGCAAAAAATGAAATGCATCTTACTTTCCCTTGGGTAGATAGAGAGAGACGGTTGTCTTCCCATCCAAAATGAACAGGTACATTCTCTTCCTAGTACATGTAAATCAGTGGAGGCTGGTGGGAGTAGCTATAGGAGGATGGGCTCATTGTAATGGCTGGAATAAAATCAATGGAACGGAGTCAAACATGTGGTTTCCATATGTTTGATACCGTTCCATTTATTCCATTCCAGCCATTACAATGAGCCCATCCTCCTATAGCTCCTCCCTCCAGCCTCCACTGATGTACATTTCCTCCTCTCTCTTTCTAATAGACACACCCTCTCTGAGTTTCCTCCTCCCACTTTATATATCTAGCCACACCCTCTCCGAGTTTCCCCCTCCGACATTGTCTGTCCAGCCACGCCCCCTCTCTGAGTTTCCACAGTTCAACAGACAGTATCTGTGTTAAAGGAGAGCTGCACCTGCCATGGAGACAACAGGTGATTAGTAAAGGATAAAATACAGTCAAGTTTACTTACAGTTAAGTACTTACTTAATACTTATTAAGTTTAAGTCTGATCTGCACAGTGTGTCTATGTAGACAACATCCCATCTAACTTTCTCAGTCTTCTCCTCTCCCCTCACACCCTCTCTTCCCTTCACACCCTCTCCTCCTCTTTCTCCTCCTCGCTCTTCCCGCCTCTCACCCTCTCCTCTTCAAAGCTGATGAGGCCCTCATCGTCGTCACTCTCCAGTTCCCCCGGCTCTTCGCTGACCAGGGCGCTGAGCTCCGTATTTGCAGGCCGGGGCCTCAGCAGGCTGAGCAGGCGCTGCAGTGGCGACTGGCCTCCAGCAGGGGGGGAACTCTCCTGCTGCTCCAGGTTGTCACTTTGCTTCTTGGCAAAGTTCACAAACACCTGTGGGAGGGAGAGAACGCAGAGAAACAAAGACAAGGGGATATAATTGAGACTTTTTAGCATAGATGTTTCAGATGCAAGGCCTTCCTCAAGTCAACAAACAAAAATGAAAGGGAGCAATGATCAATGTCTGTGCGTGCACAGATTTAAAATCAAATTCTCTATGACATTTTTTAAATAAACATTTAAAATCACCTAATCTGTACCGCGTCAGTGTGGAAATTACTAATACACAGCGTGAGAGTAACTCACGTTGTCCAGTGTGGTCTGGCTGACAGAGTAGTCCTCTATCCCCAGCACCTCCACCACCTGCTCCATCTTACTGAACACCTGGGCCAGGGAGATCCTCTCGGACTTCAGCTGGAACTGGACCTTAGTGTGGTGGCGCTCCTGTGGATGGATCCAATTAAATTCAAACAACTTGTCTTACTTGCACTCACACCTACAATTGTGTTTTCTTCCTGCCACTGATTCTGCTGATAGAAAAGTCTACCTGCAATAACTGGGATGTGTGGTTGTTCTTTCTAACTAAACTTAGGGCTCTATTCAATCTGTAAAGCTGAAGCTTTAATTTAATGGTAATTTCCGATTGAGCCGACGACATACGCCCAGTTTATCGTGAATGCATTCTCTGCTAAAGCAGGAACATTGCCTTTAAATTTAAATCACGCTGTAAAGCTGAACTTCCTCGATGTGGATTGAACAGAGCCCTAATTGAATGCACTGACTGTAAGTCGCTATGGATAGGTTTCAAGTTTTAATGTCACGTGTACAAGTTCAGTGAAATGCCTTTCTTGCAAGCTCCAAACCCAACAATGCAGTAATCAATATCAATGTAGCACTAAAAATAGCATAAGAGCGTCTGCTAAATGACAAATATAATGTGTACCTTTAGTACAGCCTCAGGGAAATTCCTGTTGAAGAATCTCACCACCTCCTTCACACTGGAACTGGTTCTAGTCCGCACTGTGATCATGTAACCATCACCAAACCTAAGGAAGGAAGGGACACAACCAGGGTGAGAGTAGACATAACACACAGGCCATGATTGCTTCATTTATAAATTCATCCTTCCTTCCTATCTTCCTTGAAGTAATCACAGATCTAAATTGGTTGGATTGGGAGAGTAATAGGGTGGCAACCTTGCTTACATCTATCTAATCTCAAGGAAATAAGGAAGGAAGGATGCATTTCTGAAGTATTTAAACAGGGCCACAGATTACATAACAGGATGTGTAACCAAACAAACAACAATTTGAAGGGTGGAGGAAATAGAAAAAATAAGGATGATTCAAAGGTGATTGCAGATGAGTTGGCATCCCATAATGTCTTAAGCTTCTGGTTGGCCTAGCAACAGAGTGAGGCCACACCCAGCATTAGCTGAGTGAGTGTGCACTTCTTCTGACCTGTTCTTGAGGTGCTGGATGCTGCCCAGGCATTTGAACCTGCCGTTGACCATGATGCCTAGTCTGGTGCACAGAGCCTCACATTCCTCCATACTGCAGAGACAGAGATTCACAGTTGACATTTGAGTCATTTAGCAGACAGAGCGACAGTCACCGCTATCATCAGAATCAGTGGCAGGAGGAAAAAACAAGCGTGGGTGTGAGTGTAAGGCAGGGGATAGCAGGTGATAACACACTTCTTACCCACACACTTCAATAATACAGGCAATAGTAGATACATTAGCAGCACACAGTGTGCAGTGCATGTCTGATGAGAATGAGTGTCTCACCTGTGTGATGTCAGCACCACAGAGCGTCCCGTCTTGATGATGTCAAGGATGAGGTTCCAGAGGAATCTGCGGGCCTTAGGGTCCATCCCTGTAGTAGGTTCATCCTGGACAAACATACAGAACAGGACACAATCAGAGCTGAGTGTCCCCTATCTTATCCAGAGGAGAATATGTCTTTTTGTAAGTCTTTTAGAAGTTTTCAAACAAAAGACAAGACAGAAATTAAGAGAAAGTACAAATATAATAAAAGGAAAATTAGCCAGAGCCCTATGGCACCCTATTACCGATATAGTGCTTTACTTTTGACCAGAGTCTTATTGGCCCAGGTCAAAAGTAGTGCACTATATAGGGAACTGGGTGCCATTTTGATTCACACCCATGGTGATGGGGTTGAGTGAGTCTAACCAGGAAGATAAGAGAGGGGTATCCAATGAGGGCGATGGCAGTAGACAGCTTGCGCTTGTTTCCCCCACTGTAGGTGCCAGCCGGCTTGTCTGCATACTTGGACAGCTCCAGCTTCTCTAGGGCCCATGAGACCACCTGAGAGGGGAAGATTCAAGTAATAGAGGAACTTTTCAACAACACCGATTCAGAAAAATCACACAGTAATATAATATTGTGAATGCGAAATGTGGAATGTGTGTGTGTGTGTGTGCATACGTTTGTGTGTGTGTGCAGCCTGAGAGTGTGTGTGTGTGTGTAGTAGCCGTACCCTCTGCTCGTCCTTCCAGGGGATGCCTCGGAGACGTGTGTACAGCTCCAGGTGCTCTCTGGCTGTCAGGTCTTCAAATAAGGCATCAAACTGAGGGCAGTAACCAATGCTCTGCTGCACTCTCAACAGCTCCCTCAGGATACTGACAACACAACACAGATCAACAACAGTACCTGGGCCCGTATTCATAAAGCGTCTAAGAGTAGGAGCACTGATCAAGGCTCAGGTCCTCCCTGTCCATATAGTCTTATTCATTATGATCTAAAAGGCTAAAACTGATTATAGATCAGCACTCCTGAGACACATTATGTATACGGGCCATGATATACTTAACGTCAGATTTTACTTTTCGTAGCAGGTCAGGAGAATTTATGCAGCAGGTTAGGAGAATTAGGTTAGATTAGGAAAAGGGTTAGGTTAACTAAAATGCAAATAATATATACTTTTGACGTTAATTTGACAAATACTGTATTCCTTCAAGTCCCCTGTAGCTCAGTTGGTAGAGCATGGCACTTGCAATGCCAGGGTTGTGGGTTCGTTTCCCACGGGGGGCCAGTATGAAAATGTATGCACTCACTAACTTGTAAGTCACTCTGGATAAGAGCGTCTGCTAAATGACGTAATGTATATACAGATTTGTTACTAAAACTAGCATAACACACTGAGACATGGCATTAGCAATAACCACTTCTGTATCAATCTCAGGTAGGCTACACTACCAGTATCTGATATCAACTTTTACTAAGACTAGCATAAAGCATTGAGATTTGTGTTAGCATTGTGCCTAAAGACCCATCTGGTGTGCGTCCCAAATGGCACCCTGTTCCCTATATAGTGCACTACTTTTGACCAGGGCCCATCAAAAGTAGTGCACTATAAAGGGAATGGGGTGCAATTTGGTACAGATCCCTGGTATATATGTAAAATACCTATTTCCCCCTATGAAAGCCTCTCCTCCCGTGGTGCTCTCGTCTCCAGTCAGCATCTTAAAGGTGGTGGTCTTCCCTGCTCCGTTCACCCCCAGGAGGCCGAAACACTCCCCAGGACGCACACCCAAACACAGCCGGTCAACAGCCAAGATACGCCCCATCTTCCTCGACTTGTACACCTAGTGACACAGCGCATGGTATAAGGAGGTGGCTATTTATGCATTGTTCAGTTTACATAACTCTAAAGTTTAAATTGCCTCCTTGTAATGCCATTGTTGAAGAAAAATGTCTAATTCAAATCATGCTGCCAGATTATAATGAGGTTCACAGTATTTTTTGCACAGATCTGTTCTGTTTTACACCACAAAAATGTTGCCGCTAGTTAGTGCTGAGCGATTAACCAAAATTGTGGTTATTTTTCAGTTTTTAAACAACTAATTGATGACATCAGTTAAATAATTTGAATTCCATTTCATTTGTTTTTTTCTGTGAGCTCAATGCGCATAGTGCCAGTTTCTGTAGAGATAAATCAGATCAAGCCCGAACTGTGCGATGTAGTAGGGAGTTGTAGTTTCCAACAGGCCAATATTCTACATAGTTTAGCGCAGAAAACGTGTTAATTAACTACAATAACCATAATCCATTGCGCGCCTACTTTTCCGTTCCGTGTGTTTCTTTTACGCCTGCTACGTTAGTGTGGGGCAGACACAGAGAGGGAGAGAAGAGAGAAGAATGTGCGATAGAAAGGGATAGAGAGCAGTTGCTTCGTGAGGTATCTCTAACTGAAAATACATTATCTCAGTCAGGGATGTGAAACTTTGATCATGAGTGGCCGCAGTTGCTCGCAGGCCTACATCAATACATTTTAGAGTTAATATCGTGCAATTCTACACATTTTGCCATGGGGCGAAGAGGAAAATGAGCTATTTTACAATATGATATCTGAGTGAGACTGACTAACAAAATCAATGGTTACTAAGTTTAGATAGCTGGCCACTAGACTGACTTACATCTATAAAATGTTAGTTGACGCGGGCTAATTGAATGACTGTCAGTGACTGACATAACAAGAGAAAAACTGCTGATGCACAACCACATTTCGAAATTTGTATTCTACTATTCAAACTCGCCACAGTAAATTGAGACCCCGACTCAGTTCCTAAAAAAAGGATATACAGTATCAGTCAAAAGTTGAGACCTACTCATTCCAGGGTTTTTCTTGATTTTTACTATTTTCTACATTGTAGAATAATAGTGAAGACATCAACACTATGAAATAACACATATGGAATCATGTGGTAGCCAAAATAGTGTTGAACAAATCAAATTATATTTTATATTTGAGATTCTTCAAATAGCAACCCTTTTCCTTGATGACAGCTTTGCACACTCTTGGCATTCTCTCAACCAGCTTCACCTGGATTGCTTTTCCAACAGTCTTGAAGGAGTTCCCACATATGCTGAGCACTTGTTGGCTGCTTTTCCTTCACTCTGTGGTCCGACTCATCCCAAACCATCTCAATTGGGTTGAGGTCAGGGGATTGTGGAGGCCAGGTCATCTGATGCAGTACTCCATCACTCTTCTTCTTGATAAAATAGCCCTTACACAACCTGGAGGTGTGTTGTGTCATTGTCCTGTTGAAAAACAAATGATAGTCCCACTAAGCCCAAACCAGATGGGATGGAATATTGCTGCAGAATGCTGTGGTAGCCATGCTTGTTAAGTGTGCCTTGAATTCTAAATAAATCACAGACAGTGTCACCAGCAAAGCACCCCCACACCATAACACCTCCTCCTCCATGCTTTACGGTGGGAAATACACATGCGGAGATCATCCGTTCACCCACACCGCGTCTCACAAAGACACGGCTGTTGGAACCAAAAATCTCCTATTTGGACTCCAGACCAAAGGACAGATGTCCACCGGTCTGATGTCCATTGCTCGTGTTTCTTGGCTCAAGCAAGTCTCTTCTTCTTATTGGTGTCCTTTAGTAGTGTTTTCTTTGCAGCAATTCGACCATGAAGGCCTGATTCACGCAGTCTCCTCTGAACTGTTGATTTTGAGATGTGTCTGTTACTTGAACTCTGTGAAGCATTTATTGGAGCTGCATTTTCTGAGGCTGGTAACTCTAATGAACTTACACTCTGCAGCAGAGGTAACTCTGGGTCTTACTTTCCTGTGGCGGTCCTCATGAGAGCCAGTTTCATCATAGCGCTTGATGGTTTTTGCAACTGCACTTGTCACAACACAACTGATTGGCTCAAACGCATTAAGAAGGAAATAAATTCCACAAATTAACTTTTAAGAAGGCACACCTGTTAATTGAAATGCATTCCAGGTGACTACCTCATGAAGCTGGTTGAGAGAATGCCAAGAGTGTGCAAAGCTGTCATCAAGGCAAAGGGTGGCTATTTGAAGAATCTGTTTGTTTAACACTTCTTTGGTTACTACATGATTCTATACAGTGGGGAAAAAAAGTATTTAGTCAGCCACCAATTGTGCAAGTTCTCCCACTTAAAAAGATGAGAGAGGCCTGTAATTTTCATCATAGGTACACGTCAACTATGACAGACAAAATGAGAAAAAAATTCCAGAAAATCACATTCTAGGATTTTTAATGAATTTATTTGCAAATTGTGGTGGAAAATAAGTATTTGGTCAATAACAAAAGTTTCTTAATACTTTGTTATATACCCTTTGTTGGCAATGACACAGATCAAACGTTTTCTGTAAGTCTTCACAAGGTTTTCACACACTGTTGCTGGTATTTTGGCCCATTCCTCCATGCAGATCTCCTCTAGAGCAGTGATGTTTTGGGGCTGTCGCTGGGCAACACAGACTTTCAACTCCCTCCAAAGATTTTCTATGGGGTTGAGATCTGGAGACTGGCTAGGCCACTCCAGGACCTTGAAATGCTTCTTACGAAGCCACTCCTTCGTTGCCCGGGCGGTGTGTTTGGGATCATTGTCATGCTGAAAGACCCAGCCACGTTTCATATTCAATGCCCTTGCTGATGGAAGGTTTTCACTCAAAATCTCACGATACATGGCCCCATTCATTCTTTCCTTTACACGGATCAGTCGTCCTCGTCCCTTTGCAGAAAAACAGCCCCAAAGCATGATGTTTCCACCCCCATGCTTCACAGTAGGTATGGTGTTCTTTGGATGCAACTCAGCATTCTTTGTCCTCCAAACACGACGAGTTGAGTTTTTACCAAAAAGTTATATTTTGGTTTCATCTGACCATATGACATTCTCCCAATCCTCTTCTGGATCATCCAAATGCACTCTAGCAAACTTCAGACGGGCCTGGACATGTACTGGCTTAAGCAGGGGGACACGTCTGGCACTGCAGGATTTGAGTCCCTGGCGGCGTAGTGTGTTACTGATGGTAGGCTTTGTTACTTTGGTCCCAGCTCTCTGCAGGTCATTCACTAGGTCCCCCCGTGTGGTTCTGGGATTTTTGCTCACCGTTCTTGTGATCATTTTGACCCCACGGGGTGAGATCTTGCGTGGAGCCCCAGATCGAGGGAGATTATCAGTGGTCTTGTATGTCTTCCTTTTCCTAATAATTGCTCCCACAGTTGATTTCTTCAAACCAAGCTGCTTACCTATTGCAGATTCAGTCTTCCCAGCCTGGTGCAGCTCTACAATTTTGTTTCTGGTGTCCTTTGACAGCTCTATGGTCTTGGCCATAGTGGAGTTTGGAGTGTGACTGTTTGAGGTTGTGGACAGGTGTCTTTTATACTGATAACAAGTTCAAACAGGTGCCATTAATACAGGTAACGAGTGGAGGACAGAGGAGCCTCTTAAAGAAGAAGTTACAGGTCTGTGAGAGCCAGAAATCTTGCTTGTTTGTAGGTGACCAAATACTTATTTTCCACCATAATTTGCAAATAAATTCATAAAAAATCCTACAATGTGATTTTCAGGATATTTTTTTCTCAATTTGTCTGTCATAGTTGACGTGTACCTATGATGAAAATTACAGGCCTCTCTCATCTTTTTAAGTGGGAGAACTTGCACAATTGGTGGCTGACTAAATACTTTTTTCCCCCACTGTATGTGTTATTTCATAGTTTTGATGTCTTCACTATTATTCTACAATGTAGAAAATAGTAAAAATAAAGAAAAACCCAGGAATGAGTAGGTGTCTCCAAACTTTTGACTGGTAGTGTATATATATTGCCCATCCCTGATCTAAGTGATTGATAGTTCAGCAGTCATAAAAGTATGCTTTATTTACTTTGAAGAACTATTAAAATAGGGATTTTGTCAGACAGCAGCTCTATAGAGATAAGATGACTTGGAATGAAATAATAAAGTCATCAAATAAAACAAATGTGATATACACAACAACTGAAATATTTTATTAAAGTACAGTAATGTGAATAAATTATGGTTAATAAGTGATAAGCAGTAATGGGCAGTCACTACCATCATGGGACTTGTATTAATTGTTTTATTCTGTGTTGTTATAGCATTCAACCCACATAATGTAAAGTGCATTTAATGTTTAAAAAATATATAGAAACCGAAAACCGTGATCTTTAAAAAAAATAATCGAACCGAAACAACCTCAAAAGCACAAATCGCTCCGCATTACCCTTAGTGTCTATTGATACTCAGTTGACCTTAATGCTATATTGATTAAACCTACTATACACTGATCTATTCTGGTCCTGAAGCTAAATAAAGCACATTGGGTTCTCTGTGTCTGTCTGACCTTGGTGAGGTTGTCAATCTTCAGCATGTCGTTGTCAGCATCTCCTCTCAGCACTCTCCGTCTCTCACAGGCCACATCCACATCATCATCTTCTATGGGCTGGCTGCTCACTGGTACTCTCCTGTTACAGTACACACACACACCACACACACAAACACTCAGGGGCTGCACAGAACTAGAGCACTGCAGTGGATCATATTGGTGTAACACACACACACACACTAACGCATTCACATTGCACATATAGCACATTTGCATGCGCCTACACACATGAGCAGACACACTCACGAGGGTTTCCTGAGGAAGTTGTACTGGCACAGGATGGTGATGAAGAATCCTACAAAGCCCTCGATTGTCATGGCTACCAGCCCTCGAGTCACAATGTCCCACTCAAATGGAGACTTGATCTTGTCAAACTGACCTGAGAGAGAAATATTTAAGAGAGATTGAATAGATTGATTAAATTCAACAGGAGGAGGGCAGGATTCAAATAAGTAAGTAAGTAAGCCTTATCCAAGCCAATATGGCCCATAGGGCAGGAGCCTATCTCCTGATTCTGTGGCATGAGGCAGCTTGAGTACACCCCCTGGACAGGACAAATATAAATGTACAGAACTTTAAATATAATTGAACTGTAACAATACCTATTTTAGCATAGTACTCATTGATGTATTCGTTGTATGCCATTTCCATCAGGCCGTGACCCAGGTTGTAATTTGGGAAGATAAGGAAACAGGACTTTAGGTAGCTGTTCACCAGTTTCAGATCCTGCAGGGAGAGACCAAAAGACAGTGGTGTGAGGAAATGTTCAATATAGGGTTGCAAAATTCTGGTAATCTTCACCAAAATTCTTAGGTTTTTCAGAAATCCTGGTTGGAAGTTTCTGGATTTCTGCTTCTTCCCTCCTGATTTTCGGCAACTTCCAACTGGAATTTCAGAAAATCATTGGGGAAAGATGTCAGTACATCAATACTGTCAGCAGAGTAAGAAACACACCTTGTCATGCTCAAAGAGCTGCAGCAGGAAGGTGGCCACTGTGGCAGTTATGCCTCTGAAAGGTTGATGACGATGGGAACCATAGGCCCGTGGCCTAGGCACTCGAAACAGAAGGAGGCGGGTACAGATAGATAGGAGTGAAGACCACCTGAAGGGGGAGGGAGAGAGAGAGAGAGAGAGAGAGAGAGAGAGTTAGAGAGAGATAGAGAGAGATAGAGAGAGACGATATAGCAAGAGAGAGAGAGAGATAGAGATAGAGCATATACGAAGCTATCTCTCGCGCACGATGCGAGCTATCCTCTCTCCCTCCCGTACTCCATGCCCTACTCCCCGCCCTCCCTACCCATCCCCACTCCTCCCTCCCCCTACCTCCCCCACTCCATCCCTCCTCCCTAAGAAAGAAGAAAGAAAGGATGAATGATAATAGGCCATAATCATTAAACATTCATTACAGTTTCTTGATATCGTCAAAGACAGTTATGAATAATGCATTACTGTTCTTAAATGATGTCATCAAGGGAACAATATATATGCTTTTTTCCCAAGTTACCTAAATCCAAAAGCTATTTTTCTGCATATCCCTCATAATGGGTCTTCAGTGAAGTGCACTCACCCGTAGAGGAGGAAAAGAGACAGGACCGCAGGGAAGTTGGTTGGGGATGTATACGCAGGAAGGTCAAAGACAAACAGGATAAGGACACAGCACGTGGCTGGCACCAAGTAGTTCAACTAAGAGGCAGAGAGAGACAGCAGAGTTTCAGTTCGATAGGCTGGCAGAAATAGACAATATCACTCAAATATTCATAGTTCCCTCTGTGGATGAACAGTACAAACAGACAGAAGACAGACAGGCCCTGGTTGGACTTGTTTCAGAGAGTACGGCTATAGGGAGAACGCACACAATAACACACTTCAACCCCCCTCACCATGTCCCATATATAGTTAGCCAACCAGTAGATGACAGGGTCACATCCAGACACAAACTGCAGGTGTTTGGCCTTGGTCGACTTCTCTGCCACCAGAAAGACCACAAAGCTGGCTGGTACAAAGGACATGGCCACGATAATGAAGATAGCTATCACCACATCAGTGCCCTGGAGCCTGGAGGGACCAAGAGAAAACTTACTAAGACAGGGTCTGCATCCCAAATGGCACCCTATCCCCTATATAGTGCAATAGGGAGTAGCGTGCCATTTGAGACACTGTCAGGTACTTTTCAGAAATGTTGTGCCACATACAGTATAATATACAGTAACTCAATGCATAAATTCTTACAAATAGTCCAGAGAGAGGCTTGCACTGGTGCGGTTCATGGGGTGGTTGGTCAGTGTGATTCCTGCAGAACCAAACACACATCAACAACAGGGTTTAGATGGGAACAGATACTGTACATCCCCATAGAAGATCCCCAGATACTAATACAAGGAACTTTGAAAATACATTTTCACATAAACAATCTATCCAATTCAAATAATCCCAGCCAGAGTGCCAGCCTGTTTGTGTTATAATGCCAACTCCTTGTCGCCTGAGAGGAAGAGGTGAAGTGAGAGTCTTGACTCCGCCCTAAATCTGTCCGTGCGAAAATACAGCGTGAAGCAGACCAAGTGGGGATTTTTTGTATGGAGGTCGAATTTGGTTATTTGATCTAATAGAAGTTTTGTAATGTTTAGGTTTTTACGAATGTATTGATATAAGTGGCATTCTGGCAACTTTGAGAAAAACGATTTTATATCGGAGTTGTGCCTGTATTGGCCCTCTCATTGGCAAACATTTTCCCCGCGTCTGCCTTCATTTATTCCCATTGTTAGAGTGGTCAGTCCAGTATCTTGTCAGTATATAGATAATATGTGTTGTCACTCATTGTCATTGCCTTGACAGCAATGGAGTGGGCAAGATAAAAAACGGATCTGGAACCAGGCTTCTGAGTATGTATAGGTAACTGCCAAAATAAAAGAAACACTGACATAAAGTGTCTTGGGCCACAACGAGCCGCCAGAACAGCTTCAATGTGCCTTGGCATTGATTCAAAAAGTGTCTGTAACTCTATGCAACACCATTCTTCCATGAGAAATTCCGTCATTTGGTGTTTTGTTGATGGTGGTGGAAAATGCTCCAGAAGCTTCCATAAGTTCTCAACTGGGTTGAGATCAGGTGACGGACACACATACACACACACCTTTAAAAAGCCCTATGCTCCTTTGAGAGCCCTCTTTAACAGTCACTGAGGTCTCTTCTAGCCATGGTTGCCAGAATAATGGGCAACTGGGCATTCTCATACATCACCCTAAACATGCTTAATTACCTCAGGAACCACACCTGTGTAGAAGCACCTGCTTTCAATATACTTTGTATCCCTCATTTACTCAAGTGTTTCCTTTATTTTGGCAGTTACCGGTATGTCCCCACTCCCCATGGACAGCATCTCTTACCGTATGCAGCAGGGTTGCCCTTGCCTGGAGGCAGGTTGGCACGCAGGATGGCATTGTTGAGGACGTTGAGATAGGTTGGCATGCTGTGGTACCCTTTATTATTGAACAGCACCTATTGGGAGGGGACAATTCTGTCACTGGCAATGACACAGCAGCGCAAATAGCTAAGTGTCATAATAAACCTGTCCATCAAACTGACACTAGAGTTCCGTCTCAAATGGCACCCTCTTCCCTATATAGTGCACTACACCCTCGCCCTTTCAAGAAAATGCCCTTCTGCTCACCTGAGCTGATCTGCGCACTGCTATTTTGCGAACCATGGGCGGAGTCTTTTTCCCAAAGGATGCTGGGACTGATTTCTGTATGTTGCCTACTGTGAGTCCTCCATATCTAGGAGAGAGGGAGGGAGAGAGAAAATAAGATATTGAAAGTGTGTGTATGCGTCGCTGCCCGACCCCGATTAGTCTGTTACCTGTGCAGGCGCAGTCTGTCGGAGGTGTAGAGGAGATACTCTGACACGTTGCGCCCGGTGATGTCTACCAGAATGTCCCCGGTGACCACCTTCATGAGGGGCGGCCGCCCCCCCACCCCGCTGGGGCAGGAGAAGCCCGTACCCTGCATGGAGCAGATACAACGAACAGGCTCCCGGATGGACAGAGGCAGGGTGGGGGGAGAAGTCACTGTTTCTGAAGACAGACACACAGACAGAGGCAGGATGTTTAGGGAGACTACTGTACAGGACTCTAGTAAGTAGAGTAGGTAAATAAGCCTTGTCTGAGACAGAATGGCCGACACAGGACTCCACTGTAGCTATCAAATACAATTATATAATGTGATATAATGCTATTATATGACAGAGTGTACATGTACTATAATACAGTATGATTTGATAAAGTATTAGCCTACATACAAAGTATAAAAAATAACCTTTTAGATAGTTTTTACCACCTGAGAATTGAGCACAGTGGTGGGAGGGGCGCAAAGACTTACCCCTGACAGTGGTAGGAGTGGTGGCAGTGAAGTTCCACAGCCCATCGTCAAAGCGAGTGTCAGGGTCGTCGGAGGGGGCTGGCGAGGGGGGAGGGGGTACGAAGTTGGACAGGGGCACTCCCTGGGTGAAGGAGTCCAGACACATGGAGTCAAAGTAGCGGGCGGCCAGGGTCTTGCTGTTGTTGGCGCTGGGGTTGAGCGTCTGTGCCAGCTGGTCCAGGGTGCTGTTGAAGGGCGTTTTGAGGACGCAGGTGGCACCCACGCCAGATGGCAGACGCAGTGTGTTGGCGATCTTCTGAGGGCTGGCATCTGGGGACAGTTTACTCCTGAGGAGAGGAAGAACAGGAGGCTGTTTTAAAGCTACAGACGGAAGCTTTACAACATCCATGGCCTGTAGATTTTGTGTATGATGGGTGATAACTGAGACTCAGATAAGATGCACAAATGAACTAATAATAATACTTGTCAGAACGAAGGATACGATTTGGGATGTGTAAAACAATGCATTTACATTGTGTATACGTTAGCATGAGTGACATACAGTCTCCTACTCCCAGTGTCTGTCTGACCTGTACTGTGGGCGGTCTTCGTTGGCGTAGGGGATGAAGTTGCCACGGGGCTGGGTGTAGTTGTGGTACTGGGATGGGGACAGGATCAGTGGTGGCAGATCTCCTGAAGAACAGAAGAAAGACATCACACAACGATGACCTACAAACACTGACAAACAGCAAAGTCATTTGTAGTTGAACTTGGGAGGGGAAACAAACGGTACTTGTCTTTCGTGCACTCACACCTGCACTTTTCTTCTTCTTCCTGCCACTGATTCTGCTCATAGTGGCTATTTCGAAGAAGAGTCTACATGCAATAACTGTGATATATGGTTGTTTTCTCCTACTAAACTTAGTTGACTACACTCTGGATAAGAGTGCCTGCTAAATGACTAAAATGTCCAAATGTAATGTCACTTGTAGTTGTCCTCACCGATGGAAGGCACAGACAGTGCGACAGTCATGGCCACGCAGACGAAGAATGCGGGCAGCAGGATCTGAGAGAAGAGGCCCTTGGTGTTCCTCTTGGCGCAGTGGAATCTCTTGACGATCAGGCCGTGGAACTGGCGTAGCTTCAGCCACCAGCCCTCCAGCTTGAAGCTGCCCTGCCCCTCCAGGACCACAGGCTCAGGGGAGGCTTCCTCCGCATCCGCTGGAGGTAGAGAGAGATGGAGAGAGACAAAGAGAGACATTAGCAAAGCCTAAAAACACCTCACACAGAGTAAAATAACTCTCATAAGCTCATCCAACCATACTATAGCTCATTGCCCCCTGGTTAAATATAACGAAGATAAAAAAAGGTATTCACTGAGTAACACCCTCTCGAAGTCCATCAGTCTCCTCATCCAACAGTGGGACTCTTACCCCTCAGGCTGGTAGAGTGAGGGTCCTGTCCATTGTCGAAGAGGCGGCAGTAGTCTCCGTAGAAGTCTGCGTAGAGCCCTTCCTCATTCCCCCGTACGGACCCCAGGGAGGAGGAGGAGCGCAGGGAGGATTGGCTCTGGCTGAGCCTGGAGCACATCACCAGGCTAGAGAGCTCTACCTCTGGCCTCTCCACACTGCTGCTTCCCCCCGCAGTAGCCCCCTGCCCCGGAACCCCATCACCCTGCGGATAGGGATAAAGCAAGTAAAATGAGTAAGCCTTGTCTGATCTAGAACGGCCTAGCAGTAGCCCATCTCATGTTAGCGTGAGGCAGCTTGATGTAGAAGTACACCCCCTGGACAGGACGCAAGTCTATCGCAGGGATGAGAGATGGGTAAGTTAGATTAATCGATTCATTAATTAGTCAACCAAGGGTGTCTCTATCAATTAGAAAATTAGCATTACTAGAAAGTTTAATTTGTTTAAATAAATGATATTGTTTTATTATTATTTGTCATTTTAGCAGACGCTCTTATCCAGAGTGACTTACAGTTAATGAGTGCATACATTTTCATACTGGCCCCCCGTGGGAAACGAACCCACAACCCTGGCGTTGCAAGTGCCATGCTCTACCAACTGAGCTACAGGGGACTACAATCATCAACTAATAATCAATTCTGAAAGGCATGAGTTGAACTAATCCCTACCTGTGGCTTTCCAGAGCACCGCAGACCCATGGCATCAGCAGGTTTCCCCACTGAGATACCGCCTGGGGAATCCTTCATGTCTGGGAGGAGAGAGAATTTAAGAGATCATGATTAACATTTAAAGAGATATGCAACACCAACACTAAATAGATAACTTGTGAAAAGTCTATATCAGCATTTAGCTATCTGGCAACGCAAACACTGTTTGCAGACTCAGCAGAAATGAAATTCATGATGTGTATCATTATTAATGTAATGAAGCCCTCCTAAAATAACTTTATTGATCTGTGTAGCCGCAGACAGACACACTGGGCTTTGGTCCCACACACAAAAATATAATCACTAGAATGGACATCCCTATTCAAGTAAATTAAGCAAAAATTGGTGGACTGGCAGCCATTTTGAGTGTACCCATAGAAGTAAAGGCATATTTCTTTGGTCTCACCGGCATCACTGTTCTCCAGGGACTGGTCCTCCTCAGACACCTTGAGGAAGACCTCCTCCAGAGTGGTGTCCATCACCCCGAAGCTGGTCAGAGCCAAGATGGCCAGATTCTGCTCCAATGCCTGGGAATAGGAAATATGGGCTCTGGTCAAAAGTAGTGCACTATAAAGGGAATAGGGTGCAATTTGGGATACAGTCTGAGTCTGTCTGTCTAAGTGAGTACCTGAAAGAGTCTCTAGGTCTTTGTCTGTATGTCTGTCTGAGTGTGTGTACCTTCATCTCTAGGTCTGTGTCTGTCTGAGTGTGTACCTGGAATAGCCTCTCGAAGCAGCCCTTCTTGACAGCCTCAGAGGGCAGCACGTAGGATAGCTCAGTGTTGGAGTCAGACAGCAGCAGACAGGACCCCACAAACTGACGAATGAACTGGGTAACCCGGGCCTCCGAGCAGGGAGACAGGGAGGAGGAGGTGGAGGGGGACAGGGAGGATGAGGAGGGGGACAGGGAGGAGGAGGAAGGGGACAGGGAGGAGGAGGAAGGGGACAGGGTGGAGGGAGGCTGGGGCTGGGTGACCTGGTCTGGAAGCACAAACACACAGCATGATGGATGGAGGGAGGGAAAGGAGGACAAGGTGTGAGCAGAGAGTGGGGCAGCGGGAAAAGTAGAGGACAAAGAGACTTTTCAGAGGCAAAATACTAGCTGTACATGTTCAAAGACTTTGAAAGAGAAAGTAAAGGATATTATAGAGAACACAGGAGGTTGATGGCACCTTAATTGGGGAGGACAGGCTTGTGGTAATGGCTGGAGCGGAATCAGTTTAATGGTATCAAATACATCAGACACATGGTTTCAATGTGTTTGATTGCATTCACTCCATTCCGGCCATTATTATGAGCCGTCCTCCCCTCAGCAGCCTCCACTGATAGAGAACAAATCCATCATATTCTAAAAGTGAGGGACAGAGGAAGGCTGTGATTGATAATAGACTGAGACAGCTAGTGACAAAATGAAAAAGAGAAGCACACATATAAACATATATGGGGAAAGCCTCACCTCCGCTCTCACTCTGTTTCTTAACCAGGGTGAGTTTGTAGCCGTCTCCGTATGTGCTCTTGAGAAAGAGTGGGGAGCCACAGCACTTGAGTTTTCCATGGGAGATGATGGCTATGCGGTCTCCTAACAGGTCAGCCTCATCCATGTGGTGGGTGGACAGCAGGATGGTGCGACCTAGAAACACAGTTGAAATGTTTCTCTTTCAATATAAACTGAGTGTACAAAACATTAGGAACACCTTCCTAATATTGAAGGTGTTGCCCTCAGAACAGCCTCAATTCGTCGGGCATGTACTATACAAGGTGTCGAAAGCGTTCCACAGGGATGCTGGCCCATGTAGACTCCAATGCTTCCACAGTTGTGTCAAGTTGGCTGGATGTCCAAAGGCACTTCAATCTATTGTCTTGCCCATTCACCCTCTGAATGGCACACATACACAATCTACAGTATGTCTCAATTGTCTCCAGGCATAAAAATCCTTCTTTAACCTGTCTCCTCCCCTTCATCTACACTGCTTCAAGTGGATTTCACAAGTGACATCAATAAGGTATTATAGCTTTCACCTGTCATGGAAAGAGCTGGTGTTCCTAATGTTTTGTCACGTGTCAATGCATGTGGTGGGTGGACAACAGAATGGTGCGACCTAGAAACACAATTGTATTTTAATATACATCAATATGTGTTTTGTAAGTGTCAGTGCACTGTATAGGGAACAGGGTGACACTGGTCAAAACCAGTGCACTGTATAGGGAATAGGGTGCCATTTGAGACGCAACCTTAGTGTGGTTGACCCATGTCAACCGTGGTCCTCTGTAGCTCAATTGGTAGAGCATGGCGCTTGTAATGCCAGGGTAGTGGGTTCGATCCCCGGGACCACCCATATGTAAAAATGTATGCACACATGACTGTAAGTCGCTTTGGATAAAAGTGTCTGCTAAATGGCATATTATATTATTATGTCTCACCTGTTGTGAGTGTGAGTTTGACGCATCATGTCTCACCCTGTTTGTACTTGAGGATGAGGTCCCAGATGGCTCTGCGTGCATAGGGGTCCACCCCCGCCGTGGGCTCATCCAGGATGACGGCCCGGGAGCCGCCCACAAACGCTATGGCCACGGACAGCTTCCTCTTCATCCCCCCAGACAGGGTCTGCACCAGGCTGTGACGCTTATTATTCAACTCTAGATCGTCTATCATCCTGACAACATACACACAACTCATGGTCATTTCAATTCTTTTGGGCTGTGGATGGGTATCATTTGTTTCAAAACTATACATATCCTTCCATTGCTGTCAACTGTACATATATACTATCTACACCCTTCAATTTGAAGAGGTGAGATCCTAATCTAATGCCATGTTGATAGATTAGTTACCACCTTAGGGTCTTTGATTTGGTTAAACCATCAACATGGGATGTGACGTACTTGTCCATCTCCTTGCGGATGTCTTCCTCGGCCATGCCTTTGAGTTTAGAGTAGAACCACAGGTGCTCCTCCACGCTGAGCTTGTCAAAGAGCACGTTGTGCTGTGGACACATGCCCAGGTTCTGCCTGATACGCTCCATGTCAGTACGGATGTCATGGCCGTAGATGGTGGCTGAGCCAGAGGTGGGCGGGAACAGACCTGTCAGAATAGACCTGGGGATCGTAGTGGAGAACCAATGGTAGTTAGTGCTAGGGTTAGTTAGTGGACACGTAAAACATAGGTTATACTGTATTTGAAGGCCATTTTGTGGACATTATGGTGATGTTATGGGAATGTTAAGGGAATAATATGGGAACGTCAAGGAAAGATTACGGGAACGTTATGGTGATGTTATAGCCAACATTATGTATGGCTTGTTTATAAATTATCATTACATGACAATTGTTTACAAATAGTTCATCTACAATATGGTTTATCAGCAGATGATGAATAGCCCTTCAAACAAAGTCTTACCAAAACATACAACACACATCTCTCTGGGTCTCTCTGTAAATCCACACGTAAACATAACACAAACAACTGGGGACCCTCTGACACACACGTGGGCACACACACATTTTTCTCTCTCACATGGTGGTGGTCTTGCCGGCACCGTTGTGTCCCAGGAAGGACACCACCTGGTTCTCGTGGAGGTTGAGGCTCAGCTTGTTGAGGGCCAGCTTATTGCCCGTCTTGTAGACCTTGGTCAGCTTGTCTATACAAACCACCAGAGGCAGGTGGCAGGGCTCCTCTTCAATACCACGGATCTCCTCTGGAGGGAGAGAGAGGGAGAGAGAGAGAGGGGAGGATAAAGATGCTGTCTATTACAGAACCAGAGAAGAACCTTATTTTGAGATTAGACTTTTTGGTAACACTTTATTTGGATAGTCCCAAGTCAATGCTTTATAGATGTTGAGAAGATGTTCAACTACCTATCAACAATGTTTCTACTAACTATCCACTAACCAAGTCCAAGGTCAGGCTTGGCCCTACCAGATCGCCGGTGTTCCATGGCACACGCCTGGTCCTCCTCCATGACACTCAGCCTGGCCCCTCCCCCCCAGGGCCACTCCCACGTCTCCACACGCCCACTGCCCAGCCAATAGGACTTCTGCAGGGGGAAGTACCATGGCCGAGGCAGCCCATACATCCCTAGAGGATGGGTGAAAAAAACCATTTGGGATTCAGCCCAATTGCTTCCAAAACATATTCAGACAGTCAGTTACAAAATAGGGACACAAAAGGGAGGGATTTTAGTTAGCAGCCAAAGACTTGAAAAATGGAAATCCAAATTGGATGCTGACTGTTTACCTGGATGTACAGCCTCTATGTACCAGGTGAGTACTCCATACACACTAGCATCGATGATGAGCATCATCATGGACAGGCCAAGGTTGAAGTCATCGCCCTCTACAGGTGACTGGTTGATGGTGCGCCACTGGATGCCAACCCCAGCCACCTCATACAGGGCAAAGTACTTCGAGCCCAGGCCGAACGCTGTGGTCGACATTAGAGACTGGAGAGAGGAGAAAATGGGAATAAGGACAATGGACGTGTTAAAAGCTATTGACATGTATGAAGATCAATGTCTTTCAAGAGCTGACTGATTCAGATTGGTTGTGTCAGAGAATATTGCAATTCACGCCTCTTGAAGTTTTGTTTCATCCTGACTTTCAACTACTTTGCTTGAAATTGTTATGATTAAGGACATTTTGATACACCTTTGACACTCAGAAAAAGCCAATTTGACGCAGTGAAAGAGACAAATAACTAAATCTAGCAATGAGCCTGGGGTGATGTTTCTCTCATTAAATATATCCAGACAGTCTAGACATGGGCACAGTATGTGACGACCAAAAAATACCATGTCATGAATAAAGCAGAGAGGGAGAGAGTCAGGGAGGAGAACAAAGTCCAGATCTTACAGCGATGCACTTCTCGAAGGCAGTGATCTTGTCATGGGCCACCTCCTCCCTGATGGCCACGTACATGTATGGGACATAGCTGAGGAAGTAGATTATCCCGCCACACGCTGACGCCAGCTTGGCCTTGGAGTAGATCACTGACACCAGGAAACTGACATACACAGACAGGACACAGACAGATACTGTAAGCATTTACTAATCTTGTTTCTAGACACTTTCGCCCAATGGGCAATAGCCTGGAGATGAGGTTAAGCATTCACAGGTGCTGAATTTCCTCTTCATTTTAGTTTGCTCCTCAATCCATGCACCTTGGTTGAAAAGTTAGGTAGAGAGTGTTCCTATTTGTTAGCATTTACCGACCAGACACGTTCCCTTAGGACGTCTTGCAAAGGAGCTGAGTCACTGTCTGTCTGATACATTAAGGAGATAGCAATTTCTTCCTCATCGAACATTGACATGAAGTGAAACTGAGTGAAACCACTTTTATCAAATCAGCCGTTAAATATCATAGTGACTCATAGTGAGTGATTCATTAGATAAATCGCTAACACCCTGAATGTGTGTGACATCACTGCTGCTCTGATATCACTGCTTTCAGTGAGGATAGCAATAACAGAGAGAGAGAGAGAGAGAGAGAGAGAGAGAGAGAGAGAGAGAGAGAGAGAGAGAGAGAGAGAGAGAGAGACCAGTCTAAGTTTCAGTTGCCCCTAGACACTGGTCCATAATGAGTTTCACATTTTTCCCCAATAATGGTTAGAATTTCATGAAGGTAAGCTGATCCTATATCTGCGCCTAAGGCCATGGCAACTTCTATCTGGGACATAGAAAAAGTTGAAAGTTGCAGATATGCTCCCAATCATTCAATTGTTAAATTTACAATTGTTCTTTATAGTATAATAGTCTGTTAGTCTGCACTTCTCCTACTATTTTGGCTGTGTGTCAACTCATGCTTTTTACTAGACTAACATCAGAGCGGTAGTAGTGTCATTACCAGAACATAATGGTGGCGATGGCGTAGATGGAGAGGAAGAGCCAGATGATGAAGATGTCGCTGTGAAGGAGCACCCGGCCGTACTTCAGGATGCCCGTCAGGGCGGTCACTGAGATGGACAACTGGACAAACCCAGTGATGAACCAGGCCACCCAGTGGACCGCGTTGTTCAGGCCCATCATCTTCATCACCTACAGGTCAGGCAGGGAGGATACAAGTTACTTTCCATAAGAGGTAAATGCATACAAAACATTTAATTGAAATCAATATTTATCCAGCAGGGGGCAGAAGAGAGGCAACAAACATGAGCGACATCATCCTGCTATAGGATGCCGAACAAAGGCAGAGAGTAGATGGCTTTAGTGTTGCTGCACCAATGTCACAGACAGACATTGAATAGGATATGCATCCTAAATAGCACCCTTTTCCCTATATAGTGTACTAATTTTGACCAGAGGTCTGGTCAAATGTAGTGCACTATAAAGGAGTTGCCATTTGGGACACACACGGAGACCCTAGTGTAGCTGCAGGCAGTCTCACCTCTTTGAGCCGGTGCTCCTTCTCAGCCACAATGTGTTGGATCATCATGGCTACAGAGTAGACCCAGGAGATCACCATGCACAGAGGCATCATGTGCTCGATCACAAACAGGAAGCTATGGACCAATGACAGACAGGACAAATTACTCGCTCAACACTAAACCTCGTTTAGATCTATTATTGAATAATGTGGCAATTGAGCAAGTTGAAGAGACTAAACTGTTGGGTGTAACCCTAGATAGCAAGCTTTCATGGTCAAAACATATAGACTCAATGGTTGCTAAAATGGGAAGAGGTCTGTCCATGATAGGGAGTTGCTCTGCCTTCTTGACATCTCAGTCAACCAGACAGGCCCTACAGGCCCTAGTTTTGTCGCACCTGGACTACTGCCCAGCTGTGTGGTCATGTGCGGCAAAGAAGGACATAGGTAAATTGCAGTTGGTCCAGAACAAAGCAGCACGTATCGCACTTGTACACGGAGGGAAAGTGTCAGTAACATGCATGTCAGTCTCTCCTGGCTCAATGTTGAGGAGAGATTGACTGCATCACTATTGGTCTTTGTGCAAGGTATTGATGTGTTGACTGTACAGAACTGTCGGTACAAGACAAGACACGCAACCAGAGGTTTCTTCACAGTCCCCAGCTCCAGAACAGAGCCTGGGAAACGCACAGTATTAAATATGACTACATGGAACCCAAGGTAACTCAAGCTAGCATAAAACCAGATTCAAAAAACCACCTTACTGCACAAAGGGGACTGTGAAGAGACACACCCATTTTATATATCTTGTATTGTAATTTGCAATGTACTATGTATTAGACCTAGATATTGTGTGTACTGTATGTACTGACATGTAGGCTATGTGTGACGTTTTACATTTATTTAGTTCTTGACAAATAATGTTCTGTACTATGTATTATGTCATGTTTCATGTGGACCCCAGGAAGAGCAGCTGATGCTTTTGCAGCGGCTAATGGGCATCCTAATAAATAACAAATACCAATACTATCATACGAAGGTCTAAGGGCTGAATCTTGTATGATTTGAATGTTGGTACAAAACTCTCATTGATATTCATAACGCATGAAATATGCATAAGATGCACGAACATTAAAATCACATGCATCTTAAGCATAGTCCCGTGTAGCTCAGTTGGTAGAGAATGGCGCTTGCAACGGCAGGGTTGTGGGTTCGATTCCCACGGGGGGCCAGTATGAAAAAAAAAATATATGCACTCACTAACTGTAAGTCGCTCTGGATAAGAGCGTCTGCTAAAATGTAAAATGCATAGGAGGCTGGTGGGAGGAGCTATAGGAGGACGGGCTCATTGTAGTGGCTAGAATGGAATAAATGGAACAGAGTCAATTGTGGTTTCCATTGACTCTATCTATCTAATGTGCAAGGACAATGTAATGTGATTACCTCAGAATTAACATAGAACTAGTGCCAGAATTAATTGTTATTTTGGGCTGAGCAACTATAAGAAAAAACAATGTGAGAAGAGGAGAGGTATATAGAGAGAGTTCCAGGTCTTACTCGTCTCTGGTGTAGCAGGGGTAAGGGAACATCTGAACATAGTTGCCAGGCTCCACCACGTCATGGCCCACAAACGTGTTAATGATGGCTCTCTCCATCATATCTGAGGACACACGCATGCAGGCATGCAAACACGCATGCCGACACACACACACACACACACAGCAGAGATGCAGCAGAGATGACAGGGCCACTCTACACCTTAGTGAGTAAGCCTTCCCATCAGGTTTTCCCCTAAACATACAGAGAGAAAGTGCTGGATCTGCAGCTTGGCGTTGGTACCCACACAGGTGTGCCAACCTCAGGATCACTAGGGTAAGCAGTTTACCCCAATAAATCCTTATCTTAATAAAACAACAGCAAAAAATAAGTTTGACATAACAATTGTGTCCTCCGTGAACGTGCGTTTGGCATGTGATATATAGTCTATAGTCTTTAGTCTATGTATAGCCTATTTATAGTGTTGCCTTCGGCAGATAACGCTGAAACAACAAGTACAGCTTTGAGTTTTGAGACGTCTTCATTACTACTAAGCAAGAGGAATGAGAAACATACCAACGACACAACAACATTTGGAAATGCCATACCAGCATTAAAATTCTGTATAAAACACTAATTAGAGCCAACAGTGTTCTTCATTTGAATTAATTTGATATAGCCAGGGTGCCAATCTATTCTGCTTTGGTTAAAGGGGTACTTTGTGATTTTGGCATGCTAGCAGATACCCATAGACTTCCAGTCATTGTGCTAACACTAGTTAGCATTGGCTCGCGAAACTACCTCTAACTTCCTTCATACTGGACACAGAGAGAAATAAGTAGATATAGTGCCAAAATCCCGAAGTATCCCTTTAATGCCTTTGTGGCTATGATGCTGATGATAATGGCTAGAGCTGTCTAGAGTTGGATAGAATTGGATAGAATTGGATATAATTGTCTAGAGTTGGCTAAAGTTGGCTCAAGTTAGCTACAGTTGGCTAAACTTGGCTAGAGTTGGCTAGAGTTGACAACATTTCAGTCTACATTTACAACACTTCCGTAGACAAGATGGAGGATTCTGGTCACGTACCCTGGATCCACACAAAGCCGTAGAGGAAGTAGAACTTTCCCCCCGTGTTGGGCCCCGGGCGCCAGTAGGCCCGGCGGATCTCGTTGGTTTTCTCTGTGAAACTAGAGTTCTGTCTGATCTTATAGAGGACATGAGGAGGCAGGGAGCCATCTATGTTGGTCTGGAATATCACACCTGGTCGAAAGGGAGGGGGACATTATGTACAATATATATTTTACATGATTTCCTCATAATATGAAGTCTATTCCGATTGGAGGCTAGCTGCATGCCACAGCTGCTGCCCTTTCAGTCATATCCATCTGGCTACCTGGGCCTGGCCATTAGCCATTATCTGTTTTTACTGTAAAGCCTGATCGAGTGCCAAAGACACATTTCCATTTTGTGATAATGTAATGGACACTAAAGTTGTCATATCCTATCCTTTCTTATGATTAAATCAAGTAGTCTGTCCACTGCAGTGGTTAGTGTACTCACTGGCAAACACTGAGATGTTATCATGGTAAGCTTGGTTCAGTGTGTAGTTGACGATGCTGTCCTCATCCGGAAAACCCTTGAAGATATCCACACTGACCTGGAACAAGAAGAATAATACTTTATTGATCCATTTTCCTTGCAGTCAATGGAAAATTGTCTTCTGCCTTGATCTCAACCCCTCCGAAAGACCCACAAACACACACAGGTTAGAAGGGTTGGAGCAGATGGCAGCCACAGTGCAGTGCCAACCGCCAAGAGCACAGGAAACGTCTATATCGGCAACACTGGTAATAATAGTCCCTGCCCTGGGCTCTGGTCAAAAGTAGTGCACTATATATGGAATAGGGTGCCATTTGGGATGAATCCTGGGACTATTGAATGGAGCTTTGCATCCTGTTCAGAGCGGATTATCAGTGCTCATATTACTGCACGCCTGCTGTCTGTGGCCAGATCAATATACAGTACTCAAGTTCCACTGCTCTTCCTGTGTCAGTCTGAATCAGAACGCCCACCAGAATCATATAAAGCTCTCATGTAATTGATAGTGACCTTGGACGCTCTGAACTTTCCAACCAGGCTACTACTACTAGATGTACTATTCATCTCTGTTTTTTTGTGTGTTTGTGTGTTTCTTTCTTTCTTTCTCATTCTAGTTTTATACTGACCTTGGACATGAAGTGTGTCCAGCCGCAGGCGGCGTTGTCGATGGTGTCCAGCTGCTGCAGCAGGGTGGAGGTGTTGGGCAGGGTGTAGTTGCCCTCCAGCAGCCCACGCAGCAGATCACTGTCTGTCCCATTCAGCAGCTCCGGGTGACCACGTAGGTCAGAGGTCAACTAGGAAGAGGAATACATAAGGAGTTAGTACACAGGTAGGCATATCCATGGGCTTATTGTCCAGTAGTGTGTATGTGTTTATGTTACAGTGTACATATGGGCTTATCAGGCAAGATATGAACTGTATTAATGTACTGTGTGGGGGACAAAACATTTTTTCAAGATTGCCAGTTAAATCTTATGCCATTTATCAGACAACATTACCTTATGAGGTGAGGTAAATAGTGCCTGTTACTGTATATGAAGAAATATAAAAGCTGTGTGTTACCTGCTGCAACCAGGCCAGGTGGTGGTGCAGCTTGCCCTCCTCCAGGTAGGTCCTGAGCTGGGCAGAGATGTTGAGCCACACCCGGGCGTAGTGAGTCACGTTCCCCACAAACGCAAACGTCTCATTGGCCTTCACACAGAAGCAGAGCCACATGTCACCGACACAGAAGAAGCTATCCCAGTCCTAGCTCTGGTCCAGGGTGTTACGTGCAGATTGCTGGTGCTGAGGCTTCTCAGTGTCAGTAAGCCACATCCTGGACCAGAGCTATCCCAGTCCCATTAATGTCTCTAGTCCCATTAATGTCTCTAGCTACTCTATCCACATCCTTTCAACTGTCCTTTTCTGTTGAGTCCTTTATGTGGCCCTTCCCTCCATTTTCTGCCTCCCTCCTTCTCTAGTTTTGTTCATTTCTCAACCTCCCTCCCTCCTCCAGTCCTCTTGCTAAGATAACAAATCTAGCTATAGACCATCTGCCAATAACAAGCCATTAGTAACTAGTGGGATGTACAGAGAAACAGAATCAATGGCCAGTTCTGCATATGTTGTGGTTTAGTGAGACCTCCGGGGACTGAGGATGGCATGATTCATCTAGCAACACATTGACTTCCTACACATCTTGCCCTTAACCGATGTACAGAACATGTAGCTACATGATTAATGTGTAAGGCTGGGATACAAATTACCATGGGGCTCCTACTGAATTCCCAACATGTTCTCAATAATACGTTGAGTCTCAAAGTGTCTGACAACAGCTAGGCAGTATAAATAAAAAAAAAATTGGAGCACCGGCAATCCTCAGTTTAGTCTTGGCATCTTGTGTACGTAAGCATTTCCAAGTTGTTTTCCTAGTACTTTATCAAATTAATATAGACGATGCCTGGGCAGCAGTGTACATAGCTCTATAGTCTGCTCATGTTTCACCAAGCAATGCAAAAATGACATCTGAATAACTCCATTACAGGACACTGTATAGGCACAAGTCACTGTGTACATGTACACTACATACACTATAATGATACAGACGACAGAGCCTGAAAGAACATGATCATGTACTTGCCTTCTGAATGACTTTGTCCACCTGTGAGCCAATGGGAGAGTAGAGGATCTTGGGATTTGTAGTCATCAGGTGCACTAGTAAGCCCAGATTGCGCTGCTCTTTACTGGTAAAGCCCAGAGAGCTCATATTCCCCTGCTTTAAAGCCTCTGGCTCAATGATCCTGGAGACAGTAGATAGGGATCAACAACTTCAGCCTTTACAGCATAGGTTTACAGCACAGTGTTTCTCTAGCCTGGTCCTGATGCATCTTATCAATTTAAAACATCAAGCCCTTGATTAGTTTAATCAGGTGTGTTATTATATGGCTGGGACATAAGCCTGCACACCCTGTAGATCTCCAGCCTGGTTCCAGATCTGTTTGTGCTCAAGCAAGTCCATGCTGTCATGACAGTGGGTGACAGGGAATTGGCATGATAGCACAAACAAACTAGCACTCAGGCTATTGGATCTCCAGTTAAAGAACAATGGCATAGGAATGATTCTATTACATAGACACAAACCTGTTGTTCCCACACAGAATAGGCTGCAGCCCTGCCCACAGCTGCACAAAGGCAGAAAACTGCGAGCGAGGGTTCTCTTCTTCTTTCACTTCCTCTTTTTCTCTTCCTCCCCCCTCCTCCTCTCCGCCCTCCCCCCAGGGGTTCTCGGTGGTATTGGGCCCCCAGGTGGTGGCATTGAGGGACCAGGAAGTGGTGGTGTTGGCTAGAGCCCCGGGGGGGGCGTGGCCGGCACAGGCCCCCTTGGGGAGCAGGCGAGCCAGGCCTGACAGCAGGTCTACATCCCTGAGGAGCCTCTCCACGTCAGCCAAGTCCTTCAGCAGAGCACCCAGGTGGGACTGGGATAGAGGGGCCGAGGAGTTGGCTTGCGCCAGATGCAGCTGGAGAGAGAAGGCCGAGAGGTGTGGAGACAGAAGAAAGGGGGAGAGAATGAGAGAGTGAGAGAAAGAGAAAAAAGAGACAGATGTGGAGAAGAATCAAAGGGAGAGAGAATAATGAGAGTATTAGAGATAGATACTGAGATAGATACTGAGATACAGTATATACTGGGATCGATACTGAGATAGATACTGAGATACAGTATATACTGAGATAGATACTGAGATACAGTATATACTTAGATAGATACTGAGATAGATACTGAGATTCAGTATATACTGAGATAGATACTGAGATACAGTATATATTGATAGATACTGATATACAGTATATACTGAGATAGATACTATCTGAGATTGAAACTGAGATATATACTGAGGAGCCATAGAATGTCTGCCATTCCAAACACAAATCCACAGTATTTATTTATGTGTGTTTGATGCGGGAAAAGCACGTCACCACAGGGATTCTCAGTTCAAAGCAGCCATTGAGTGCGTCCAAAATGGCACCCTATTTCCTATATAGTGCACTACTTTTTTATTATGGGCCCTGGTCAAAATTAGTGCACTGAATAGGGAATAGGGTGCCATTTTGGACGAAGCGATTGTCTCTAATGTACCTTGTCAATAAGGCTCTGTGTGTCTATCTGCTCTCGCAGCTCCTGGCTCATCTCTCCAAAGCGCTCAGTCCTTTGTCCCGCCCCACCACCACACACTGAGCTGCGATAGGCCTGGAGCAGGGACTGCTGCTTCTCAGGAACCAATAGGATCTTGCTCAGCTCACCAGTCCCGTCCTCCCCACAGGTAAGCATTTCCAACATGGCACCAGTCAGGAGAACACCCTTTGAAAAAACAAACAAACAATCAACAGCACATACAACACAATTCATCATCATCATCATCATCATCAAGTGTGGTATCAATTATTTCAATGGTAGTCCTGTACGATAAAGGCTATTGATTCAATAGAAAAAAAGACAGGAGGAAGGAGGAAAGAAATGGGGGATGATTCAGATAGAGGAGGATATATAAGATAGGCAGTGTACCTCCACCTCCTTCAGTCCCTGGGGGTCGTATCTCTGGCCTGCCCCTCCTCCTGCTAGGCCTAAAGCCTGGGACATGAGTTTGAGCAGGGCCTGCCGATGAACTGCTTTGGTTGGGTCTATTAAAGCTTTGTGGATCAGTCCACCATCCAGACTATGCATGGCTCCTAGCAGCTTCTCCTGAGGGGAGGAAAGGAGGGGATTACTGCTGAACTAATACACAGAATCAGATCAATTCAATTCAATATTTTCCATTAGTAGCCTACCTCCAGTTGAAGGATCTTCTCTGCAGGTGTGTGTGCAGTCTCTTTTTCCCCTCCAGAACTGTGACTATTCCCCCCTCCAGTTCTGGGGTACAGGCCAAATATCAGGTTGAAGACCTACAGTTCAGCAGGGGAAAGAGAGGACCCACACACTCAGAGAACAGGAAGATAAACGCACACACACACACACACACACACACACACAGGTGGCAGACAGGCTTTCAGTGTTTTTTCTCATAGGGAAAGCTGTCAGAAAGACAGGATAATGAAGAGAAACATGGAGGGACAGAGAGAAAGTGAGTGACTGGAGAAGGCCTAGACAATGAACTGAGACAGAGATGGAGGGAAACAGAAAGGTGGGAGGCACTGAGCCATATATTGATACGGTATGATTCAATGTCACTCCTCAATGACAATAAGTCTTTGCCAAATCTGAAATCTTGGCAAACGGGTGTATATTCAAATTTAGATGTCAAAATTGTGTTATTTAAAAGTAAATATACCCAATAGCCAAGATTTCAGATTTGGCAGTCTATACTAACATTGTTTCTTACTTCCTTGTTCATCAGTCATGTCACAACATTTGAATTTAAACTCTGCATTAGCCTATAATCAAAACACTCCCCAGGGGTAGATGAGGACTAGGGAGGTACAATGTGTGTGTATGTGTGTGTGTGTGTGTGTGTGTGTGTGTGTGTGTGTGTGTGTGTGTGTGTGTGTGTGTGTGTGTGCGAGCATGTGACAGGAACACAGACCTCTTTGAGGTTGACAGGAGTGGAGAGAAGCAGGCTGGCGGTGTCGTTGGGGAGGGACAGATTCCTGACCAGGAACTGATGGAACCCTGACTGGTTCTTCAACACACTAGCTACTGTGAACCCTGCAGGGATAGAATCACACAGCACAACCACAGATAATCTACATTTTTTAAATTTTTTATTTCACCTTTATTTAACCAGGTAAGCCAGTTGAGAACAAGTTCTCATTTATAACTGCGACCTGGCCAAGATAAAGCAAAGCAGTGCAATAAAAACAACAACAACACAGAGTTACACATGGGATAAAACAAAACATACAGTCAATAACACAATAGAAAATCTATATACAGTGTGTGCAAATGTAGTAAGTTATGGAGGTAAGGCAATAAATAGGAAATAATGCAAAATAATTACAATTTAGTATTCACACTGGAGTGATAGATGTGCAGAAGAAAATGTGCAAATAGAGATACTGGGGTGCAAATGAGCAAAATAAATAACAATATTGGGATGAGGTAGTTGGGTGGGCTAATTACAGATGGGCTGTGTACAGGTGCAGTGATCGGTAAGCTGCTCTGACAACTGATGCTTAAAGTTAGTGAGGGAGATAAGCGTCTCCAGCTTCAGAGATTTTTGCAGTTTGTTCCAGTCATTAGCAGCAGAGAACTGGGAGGAATGGCGGCCAAAGGAGGTGTTGGCTTTGGGGATAACCAGTGAGATATACCTGCTGGAGCGCATACTACGGGTGGGTGTTGCTATGGTGACCAATGAGCTAAGATAAGGCGGGGATTTGCCTAGCAGTGATTTATAGATGACCTGGAGCCAGTGGGTTTGGCGATGAATATGTAGTGAGGGCCAGCCAACGAGAGCGTACAGGTCACAATGGAGGAAGGTATATGGGGCTTTGGTGACAAAATGGATGGCACTATGATATACTACATCCAATTTGCTGAGTAGAGTGTTGGCGGCTATTTTGTAAATGACATCGCCGAAGTCAAGCATCGGTAGGATAGTCAGTTTTACGAGGGCATGTTTGGCAGCATGAGCAGAGCTGGTGGCAGGGGTAGGGGTAGCCAGGTGGAAAGCATGGCCAGCCGTAGCAAAATGCTTATTGAAATTCTTGATTTATCGGTGGTGACAGTGTTTCCTAGCCTCAGTGCAGTGGGCAGCTGGGAGGAGGTGCTCTTATTCTCCATGGACTTTACAGTGTCCCAAAACTTTTTGGAGTTAGTGCTACAGATTGTGTATATTGGTTCCTGACTTCCCTGAAAAGTTGCATATCGCGGGGGCTGTTCGATGCTAATGCAGTACCCCACAGGATGTTTTTGTGCTGGTCAAGGGAAGTCAAGTCTGGGGTGAACCAGGGGCTATATCTGTTCTTAGTTCTGCATTTTTTGAATGGGGCATGTTTATTTAAGATGGAGAGGAAAGCACTTTTAAAGAACAACCAGGCATCCTCTACTGACGGAATGAGGTCAATATCCATCCAGGATACCCGGGCCAGGAACTGCTTCTCCAATAGATATCGCACAGAACAGAATCAAATGCAGTGTATGTACATCCAATAACTTGCAGGTGCTGGGTACAAAAATAAACTCATGAAATTAAGATAGATACCCACAAACTGACTGCTGAGGCTGACAGGGCCTTCAGTAACTTGAGGGGTCTGTTCACCTCAGCCCCGGTACTGGCCCACCCTGATCCATCACTACCGTTCGTAGTGGAGGTGGATGCGTCCGAGGTAGGGATAGGCGCTGTCCTATCTCAACGCTCAGGCAAGCCACCCAAGCTCCACCCCTGTGCCTTCTTCTCCAAGAAGCTCAGCACGGTGGAGCAGAACTACGACGTTGGTGATTGGGAGCTGTTGGCTGTTGTCCGAGCCCTGACCGTGTGGAGGCATTGGCTCAAAGGGGCGAAACACCCTTTCCTCGTCTGGACGGACCACTGTAACCTGGAGTACATCCGGGCAGCGAGGAGGCTGAATCCTCGCCAGGCCAGGTGGGCCCTATTCTTCACCCGGTTTGATTTCACACTATCATACATCCCGGGTACGAAGAACGTGAAGGCAGATGCATTGTCACGGCTGTATGACACAGAGGAGAGGCCCAGAGACAACACCCCCATACTCCCGGCCTCCTGCATAGTGGCGCCAGGTAGTATGGGCGATGGACGTGGATATAGAGCAGGCGTTACGCACAGAGCCATCTCCACCTCAGTGTCCAGCTGGGCTGCAGTATGTGCCTGCTCTTATCCGTGACCGGCTGATCTACTGGGCACACATGTCACCCTCTTCTGGTCACCCAGGTATCGATCGTACAGTGCGCTGCCTGACCGGAAAGTACTGGTGGCCTACCTTGGCTAAGGACGTGAGGGTGTATGTCTCTTCCTGCTCGGTGCGCGCCCAGAGTAAGGCACCTAGGAACCTCCCATCGGGTAGGTTACAGCCTTTACCAGTTCCACAACGACCATGGTCTCACCTGAGTGTTGATTTCCTTACCAATCTTCCCCTCTATCAAGGTAACACCACCATCCTGGTCGTTGTGGACCGCTTTTCCAAGACCTGCCGCCTCCTTCCTCTGCCCGGTCTCCCCACGGCCCTGCAAACTGCGGAGGCCCTGTTTACACACGTCTTCCGGCACTACGGGATACCAGAGGATATAGTGTCTGACTGGGGTCCCCAGTTCACATCCAAGGTCTGGAAGGCATTCATGGAACATCTGGGGGTCTCGGTCAGCCTGACCTCTGGTTTCCACCCAGAGTCTAATGGGCAGGTGGAACGGGTAAATCAGGATGTGGGTAGGTTCCTGCGGTCCTACTGCCAGGACAGGCCGGGGGAGTGGTCGGTGTTCTTGCCATGGTCTGAATATGCCCAGAACTCTCTCTGTCACTCCTACACTAACCTAACGCCATTCCAATGTGTTTTAGGTTACCAACCGGTTCTGGCACCGTGGCATCAGAGCCAGACTGAGGCTCCTGCGGTGGATGACTGGTTTCGGCGCGCGGAGGAGACGCTGCTCACTTCCACCTCCAACGCGCAGTGCGTCGTCAGAAGGCCAACGCTGACCGCAACCGCAGTGAGGCCCTGGTCTTCATACTGGGTGATCGGGTCTGGCTCTCGACCTGGAATCTGCCCCTCCGCCTGCCCTGCCGGAAGCTGAGCCCGCGGTTTGTGGGGCCGTTCAAAGTCCTGAGGAGAATCAAAGAGGTTACCTATAGGTTATTACTCCCCCATGATTATCGCATTAACCCCTCGTTTCATGTGTCTCTCCTCAGAGCGGACCAGCCGGTGGTGGCTGGTCCGCTCCAGGAGTCTGAGGTGCGGGAGGTCCCTCCGCCTCTTCTGGACATCGAGGGGGCCCCGGCATACTCCGTCCTTCCATCCTGGATTTGAGGCGTTGGGTGGGGGGCCTTCAGTACCTCGTGGAGTGGGAGGGGTACGGTCCGGAGGAACGGTGCAGGGTCCCGGTGAGGGATATCCTCGATCCCTCTCTGTTGCAGGATTTCCACCGTCGCCATCCGGCTCACCCTGCTCTGCGTTCTCCTGGCCGTCCCCGAGGCCGGTGTCGGCGCGCTGCTGGAGCTGCGCTTCAAGGTGGGGGGGGTTCTGTCACGACTTGTTCGGGCAGGCTTCGGCGTTCGTCGTCACCGGCTTTCTAGCCACTGCCGCTCCATATCTCATCATTCCATTTGTTTTGTCTTGTCTATTACACACACCTGGTTCATATCCCCTCATTAGTACGTGTATAAGTGTTCCCTCTGCCCCCTTGTCTTTGTGGGTGATTGTTTATTGTGAGGAGATAGTAGCTCAGTTGAGCCCAGTGTATTTTGTATTGCTGGGGTATTTTCCCTGTGTGCCTGTTTGTTCCAGTGCACCTGTTTTGCGCACTGGACTGGTTAACGCTGTATTACGGAATAAACTCTGTATACTGTGATTTAACCTCCTGCGCCTGACTCCTTCAAATCACGCATCACAGAGATACAGGTTTACTGTAACACGCACACACATGGGGCTGTATCACCATTTAACCGTGTAACCGACGGTTATGGATGAAATAAAATAACTGTCATAACCTTTAAAAAAGAAATGTGACACACACACACACCTTGGCTGGTGTTGAAGTTGTTGTCCAGTGGGGAGGACCCTGTGGATGTGCTGAGGCTCTCCAGGTGTTGCTGTAGGGACTCCAGCTCCTGGCCCAGTCCTGGCCTGTCTGCTGTAAACAGGTGGTTCTGCAACACCACCTCATGGATCCGCTCCAACAACTGGGTCACACTGGGGGAGGGGAGGGGGGAGAGGAGGGGTGAAATAGAGGTGAGTGAGGGAAAGAAAGGTGGAAAGAGAGTGGAGGGAGTGAAAGGAAGGGTCAAAGAGAGAGGGAGAAGACAGATGGGAGAGAGAAGAGCGAGAGAGAGAGAGAGAGAGAGAGCGAAAAGAGAGGAGAGTGTATTGAGAGAGGTGTGGGGTATAGTAATAGGTAAAGACACAATGACAGCCCCCTCCCATTAGGAGAGGCCCACAAATCAAAACACTAACCAGAAGGAGATGAATCAATCACATGCATACAATTACAGGTAATGACCACCATCCAATCCTGCTGTTAAGTGTTATGGACATTAACACTGTTAGGACAATATGGTTAGTGGCATTAAACTAAAGGCTGCCTGTCGTAAAGAGGAGAGAAACATAATTGGGGAGGTAGAGAAAGAGAGAGAGATACAGAGAGGGAGAGGGAGAAAGAGAGAGAGAGAAAAAGCTGGGACTGTCTGACTCACGTGGAGTTCTTGTACTGCAGGAAGCCAAACTCGTCCCTCTGGCCGTCGGGACACAGAGACTGCATGATGGGAATGATGCCTGCTGAGGTGAGTGGAGCTGCGCTGTAGAAGGCTGGACAGAGAGGACGGACACCAGGGAAGGACAGGGAGGTACAGGCGGTAGGTAGGGAGGACAGGAATAGAGAGAGAGGACAGGGATAGAGAAGGGCAGAGAGAGATATGCAGGACAAAGATAGACAGGACAAAGAGACATGATTCACAGGAAAAGCAAGGAAGGATTGGTTGGGAGGAGGTTGGAAGGTTTCAATGGAAAGACCGAACCCCAAAAAGTATGGAAATGAGGAAAGAGAAAAAGAGAGAGGTGGTTAGAAAGAAAGAAAAAACCCAGATCACAGATAACACACAGTCAGTAGCCAGAGAGGAGAAGGACCAAGATGTCAGGGTTGAATTCTCAGACATAATGTCATCATTCTGTCTCAACGAAATGGTGCTCTGGTTTCTAATCCGCTCATAAATCGTGACTGCTGCTGGACACACTTTCACCAAGCCGCAGGGGTCGATTCTGGGTCCTGTACTTTTTACTGTTTACATTAAGAATATTGATGTCTGTAAAAAATGCTTTACCTGCACTTGTATGCCGATGATACTGTTGTGTACGCTATTGTCTGCCTTCATTGTACTAAAGAAAAACTTTATTGATCTGAAATTAGTATTGATAAAGCTCTTTTACAAAAAGTCCCACTGTACCTAAAATCATTACTAAACTTCAGACATATGAGTTACCACACCCGGCATCAGGGATGGCTAACTCTGGAAATTCCTTGGGTCTCTACTGAGTTAGGTAAATCAGCTTTTAGTTTTCTTGCACCTTATTTGTGGAACAATCTTCAAAATGTTCTTAAATTTGATGTTCTGGTACCTCTAAGGCAATTCAGAAAGCTGATTGAGGACCTTATTACTGATGAATGTGTTTTCTTATGACCGTGTTTTTCTTTCTGCTTGCATTTTGTATTTATATTTTGATTTGTGTTTTTCTGTAATTTCTGTAATTCAGGGCTCATCTGTAAAAGAGACCTTGTCTCAGTATGACTCCCTGATAAAATATAGGTTAAATATAATAATACTGTACAATGGAATGGCCCATGTTTCCATGACTACCGTGGGGAGTTTTTCTCAAACCTTCTCTCTCAGCAGCAGCAGCTCCATCCATCCGCCTGGCAACAACACTCTCTATTCTCTTCAATGATACATCCATTCATCCCTCATATTACACTGTTATGCATCCCTTTGGATAAAACAATAAGCATCCTAACTATGCATATCCTAGCTATCAACAAATAGGTCACTTTGAGAATGTATTGTTTGATATAACGGTTGCCTTGATTGGCATTGTAGAGCGCTACCTATTAAGGATATTCCTAAAAGCTGTTTGTGATCTACATCTATACATGATTAAACGGATCAACTAGTGTTCTGATGTTAATGCAGTTTTGTCTGATTGTTCTTAATGTGCAGTGATATTTTGCAGCTTTTTTGTTCATATAATGACTCGGGTATAAAAATGAATTACCCCCTTTGATTATAAAAAATCTATCCATCTCACCAACGTTGCTTTATCCTAATACAATCTGAGGCTAAACTGCTGACACTTACTCTGGTGCTATTACTGTCTTATTGAATAACCTATAAAAGTTAGAAACACCCACTTCTGAGCCAATTCCAGATGAAGGAGTCCTTATGTGAGCACTTCTCATGATGGTCTAGGATGAAGCTGCCCCTAGAGACACTGGTCTAAGGTCAGTTTGTTTTGGGTTTCCCACCTCTGATGGTTAATGTAAGGTTTGGAGAGGGTAGACTGATCCCAGATCTGTGCCTAAAGGCAACTAGTATTCAGAGCTGCTGAGTAATATCTGTCATGTTAAGTGTTACAGTGACAGACTCTCTAGTGATGGCAGCCTTTTGAAGATGACAGTCATCCCAAATGTTTCCTGGCACCACTCTGCCAGGGAGGAGGTTAGAGGAGAACAGCCTCTCCCTCAACGTCAGCAAAACCAAGGAGCTGACCGTGGACTAAAAGAAAGGGGGGGCACGCCCCTATTGTCATCGACGGGTATGCAGTGGAGAGGGTCAAAAGCTTCAAGTTACTAAGCGTGCACATCACAGAGGACCTGACCTGGACCAACCATACCACTACCGTGGTGAAGAAGGCGCAATAGCGCCTCTTCAACCTCTGGCGACTGAAGAAATTTGGCATGTGCCCTCGGATCCTCAAGAAGTTATACAGCTACACAATCGAGAGCATCTTGACCGGCTGCATCACCGCCCTCAACCGGAAGGCTCTACATAGGGTGGTGAGGATGGCCCAATACATCACTGGGGGTGAGCTCTCTGCCCTCCAGGACATCTACAACAGGCGGTCTTTGAGGAAGGCCCAGAAGATCGCCAAGGACTCCAGTCACCAGAGCCACGGACTGTTCACTCTGTTACCATCTGGCAAGCGGTATTGGTGCATCGGGTCTCGGACCAACAGGCTCCGAGACAGCTTCTACCACCAGGCCATCAGACTGCTGAACAGCTAACCCTACCAGTCTACCATGCACAGACCTGCACCTTAGAGACTATTTGCACTGACTCTATACACATCCAACCCTTACACACACACACAGACACACACACGCACGCACACATACACACACACACACACACACACACACACACACACACACACACACACACACACACGCTCGCACACACACGTACACACACACAGGGATCATGCTGCTTCTCCTTCCAGGCATTAGTAACCCATGGCACAGTAGACTATAAAGATGTCAAACCACAGAACATGCCTGTCAAAAAGTTGTTTCTGAAACTGAATGTTCCTTGATAACTGCATGGCTGGAATTGAAGTCCTGTGTTGCTTAGTTGGTAAGAGCAGAACACAAGCAAAATCCAAGGTTGTGGGTTCAATTCCCACAGGGATTACAAAGACCTACACTTACAAAACCTGTATGCATTGTACTGTGCTGTAAGGAGGGCCAAGCACGCCCCCATTCACATCGACAGGGCTGTAGTGGAGCGGGTCGAGAGCTTAAAGTTCCTCAGTGTCCATATCACTAAGGATCTATCATGGTCCACACACACCAACACAGTCCTGAAGAGTGCACGACAACGCCTAAGTATTTAGTCAGCCACCAATTGTGCAAGTTCTCCCACTTAAAAAGATGAGAGTGGCCTGTAATTTTCATCATAGGTACATGTCAACTATGACAGACAAAATGAGGAAAAAAAATCCAGAAAATCACATTGTAGGATTTTTAATGAATTTATTTGCAAATTATGGTGGAAAATAAGTATTTGGTCACCTACAAACACCTGTTTGAACTTGTTATCAGTATAAAAGTCACCTGTCCACAACCTCAAACAGTCACACTCCAAACTCCACTATGGCCAAGACCAAAGAGCTGTCAAAGGACACCAGAAACAAAATTATAGACCTGCACCAGGCTGGGAAGACTGAATCTGCAATAGGTAAGCAGCTTGGTTTGAAGAAATCAACTGTGGGAGCAATTATTAGGAAATGGAAGACATACAAGACCACTGATAATCTCCCTCGATCTGGGGCTCCACGCAAGATCTCACCCCATGGGGTCAAAATGATCACAAGAACGGTGAGCAAAAATCCTACAATCTTTCAGCATGACAATGATCCCAAACACACCGCCCGGGCAACGAAGGAGTGGCTTCGTAAGAAGCATTTCAAGGTCCTGGAGATCTCAACCCCATAGAAAATCTTTGGAGGGAGTTGAAAGTCTGTGTTGCCCAGCGACACCCCAAAACATCACTGCTCTAGAGGAGATCTGCATGGAGGAATGGACCAAAATACCAGCAACAGTGTGTGAAAACCTTGTGAAGACTTACAGAAAACGTTTGACCTGTGTCATTGCCAACAAAGGGTATATAACAAAATATTGAGAAACTTTTGTTATTGACCAAATACTTATTTTCCACCATAATTTGCAAATAAATTCATTAAAAATCCTACAATGTGATTTTCTGGATTTTTTTCCCTCATTTTGTCTGTCATAGTTGACGTGTACCTATGATGAAAATTACAGGCCTCTCTCATCTTTTTAAGTGGGAGAACTTGCACAATTGGTGGCTGACTAAATACTTTTTCCCCCCACTGTATCCACCTCAATTACCTCGTAACCCTGCACATTGACTCAGTACTGGTACCCCGTGTATATAGCCAAGGTATTTTTACTCATTGTGTATTTATTAATACTTTTATTATTACGTGTTATTATATTTATATTATTTCTCTATTTTCTTTCTCTCTGCCTTGTTGGGAAGGGCCCGTAAGTAAGCGTTTCACTGCTAGTCCACACCTGTTGTTTACGAAGCATGTGACTACTTTTCTATTATATATAATGTATTCTACGGCGCGACCAAGACACTACCAACTTTATATTAGTAAATACAGTCTATTATTACTATGCATACTTTCTCTTTTATTACTTGCTACAGTATTTTTGACCTTGACTACTTGTATTGTTTTTATTGATATTGATTATTGTTCTGCATTGAAGGAGCTGGCACATAAGCATTTCACTGCACCTTTTATACCTGCTGTAAACTGTGTATGTGACGATTTGTATTTTATTTTATTTGAAATGTCATCCTATTCCCTATATAGTGCACTATTTTTGACCAGGGCTAATAGTGCTCTGGTCAAAAGTAGTGCACTAAATACGAAATCGGGTACCATTTGGGACGCAAACAGTCATATCTCCCAAATTACATCCCAGTTCAGACCTGACATCTGGTCCCCCTTCACACACTGAACTCTGGATAAACGGACACAAGATCATCAAAGTCAATGGTTTAATAGATCAGTAAACCAGCAGAAAAGTAGATCAAGTGTCAGTCAGTTAGAGCTACTTCCAGCCAGATGTATGGTACAGGTATGTTATGTATACATAATGTACTACAGTGGCTTGCGAATGTATTCACCCCCCTTGGCATTTTTCCTATTTTTTTTATTTAGGGGCTTCATAGCAAAGGGGGTGAATACATATGCACGCACCACTTTTCCGTTATTTATTTTTTAGCTTTTTTTGAAACAAGTAATTTTTTTCCTTTCACTTCACCAATTTGGACTATTTTGTGTATGTCCATTACATGAAATCCAAATAAAAATCCATTTAAATTACAGGTTGTAATGCAACAAAATAAGAAAAACGCCAAGGGGAATGAATACTTTTGCAAGGCACTGTATATGTTGCTACCAGTAATTGGTTTCCACAGAAACACAGAAACATAGACACCCATACTGATTCCCACATCCCTATGAAGGAATATTATTTTCACACGGACAGCCCAGTGATTTTATTTGTCGTCGTGAATGTGTGAGTGCAGTCACAGATAACACTTCGTATTCGCTCCCTATACACTTGAGCCGGTGGGTGTGCACCTGCGTGTGTGTATGTGTGTGTTTGTGTGTATATGTGGCAGGGTACCAGTGTGTGCCTTACAGCGCTAACCTAGGCACAAAGCTCTTTAGTGTTAGTCAGATGTGTGAAATAGGATCTGTTGGCTGGAGATGACATTGTAGACAGATCCCACCCCAGTCACTGAGACTACGTCCCAAATGGCACCCTATTCCCTATATAATGCACTGTCCTGGTCAAAACTAGTGCACTATAAAGTGAATAGGGTGCCATTTGGGATGCCTGCGACTCAGTACGGTGCTGACAACAAAGAGCCATTTTACATTTTAGTTCTTTAACAGACGCTGTTATCCAGAGCGACTTACAGGAGCAATTAGGGTTAAGTGCCTTGCTCAGGGGCACATTCACAGATTCTTCACCTAGTCTGCTCAGAGATTCAAACCAGCGACCTTTCGATTACTGGCCCAAGGCTTTTAAACGCTAGGCTACCCCATATACACACACACACACACCTGTCCCACATCCTAGACAGGGCTGTATTAGGAGACCCGAGTCAGAGTCAAGGTAAATATAACCATAGATTAGTCAGTCAGAGTCACAATAATAAAGATAACTTTGACACTTACAGACTGCTCCAGCATGCAGAGAACATGCGTCATGCAGAGAAGGGGAGCAGAGAAGGGGAGTAGAGTACAGAGAAAGAAGACAGAGAGAGAGGGAGACAGAGAGAGAGAGAAAGAAAGAGTAGAGGGCCATAGAGTAAAAGAGAAAAAAAAACATGTAAATAAAACAGGTGTGGATGTCTGTGGACAATGACACAAACTAACATAACTAAACATGACTAACAGTACTATGAATGACAACACGACTAGACAGCAGTGTCTTTGCAACCAGCCCTTCACTAGCAGATTAGCAAAGCTAATGTTTGCCTTCTACAACTGAACAGAAATAGGTGGCTATTCAAAACAACACACATAAGCTGTGTCTCAAATGGCACCCTATTCCCTATATAGTGCACTACTTTTGACCAGTAGTGCACTATATAGGGAATACAGTGCCATTTGAGACGCATACATTCTATATTTAGGCCACTATGCGTCTGTATCTACATCTGTACCTATGGAGCTTTGTAGACTACAGCACTGTTCATTTTCTTCTAGAACTGTACAGTGGGACTGTCAATGAAAGTATGGTTAGATGAATGTGTTGTGTTTGAACTGTTATACAATGGGTGGGTCTAATCCTGAATGCTGATTGGTTAAAACCGCATTCCAGCCGGTGTCTATTCCACAAGTTGCCACCGGCTAAATCTATGACGTTAAAATGCCTATTTACTCTGTTCCATCTGACTGCGCAATCCACTGTCTCATCAGCCCAGCCAGGCACTTTATAAACTTGATCTCCACTATAAAAAGCATCTAGACATTAACTCACATTTCTTTTAGACTAACATTTCGTTTTCAACAGCGTAAACCTTGCTGTCTGTCTCTCTGACATTTGCAACATTGTTTCAATATTGAAATTCGATCTCCAGTTGTCCCATAGTGATGAACGTGTCGGGAGTCGGGATGAGATAGAGAGGCAGGCATTGTTTCTCAGCTAGTCGAAATCATGAATCAGCTGACATAATTTTTATGGATATATACAAAAAAATGTAAATTAAAAACAGGTAAAATGAAACGCAGCTAATTTGCAGTCTTTCCAGCTTCAGTTTGAATTGATTGTGTTACTGTAGCTGTGTTGTTGGCCAGCTCCTCTGAACAACAGTGTCCTGATGAGTGAGCACATTTTCTATGCCAGGCGAAATTGCGCCTCATTTGCTCATTGTTATGGATGTATCCAAAAAAATGTCACTAGAAAACAGCTTAAGCAAATGCAAATGCAGCTACTTTGCTGTTATTCTGGCTGCACTCTTTGACGTGACTGTAAGTTAGCTGTAGTTAGCTAGCTAGCAAGCAAGGGATAAGAACGTTGCCAGCCAGTATGGCAATGGAACATTTAGAACGAATATGTTGGTTACCTGTTGTATAAAAGTGATAATGTCCTCGAAGCCGGTGTTTGGAGGATATATTGGCACGGTTTAACGGCCCTTGACAAATATATCCTCCAAACACCGGCTTCTCTGGCAGTATCACTTAAGTGGACCACTTCCCCACTGGGAGGCAATAGTAGGCTAAGCATGAGAGATTACCACGTATGCACAGCACAGTAATTAACCAACCACCAACCACCATTACTCCTCAACCCTCTGCGTCCTCGCCTCCTCTCATCTCCTTCTGCATTAACCTGGTCCCAGATCACTTTGTGATTTTGCCAAATCCATTGCTGTCCTGGTCAGTTGTCGTTACCCCCATATTCAAGTCTGGAGATTGTTTTATGGTCAATAATTATAGACCTACACGCAGTATACAAAACATTAACAACACCTGCTCTTTCCATGACATAGACTGACCAGGTGAATCCAGCTATGATCCCGTATTGATGTCACTTGTTAAATGCACTTCAATCAGTGTAGATGAAGAGGAGGAGACATGTTAAAGAAGGATTTCTAAGCCTTGAGACAACTGAGACATGGATTGTGTATGTGTGCCATTCAGAGGGTGAATGGGCAAGACAAAATATTTAAGTGCCTTTGAACGGGGTATGGTAGTAGGTGCCAGGCGCACCGGTTTGTGTCAAGAACTGCAACGCTGCTGGCTTTTTCTACTACACACAATACCCCATAATGACAAAGAGAAAAAAGGTTTTTAGAAATCTTTGCAAATGTATTAAAAATAAAATTGATTGGAAAGGATTTGGAAAGGCAAACACCTGTCTATATAAGGTCCCACAGTTGACAGTAAGTATTCAGACCCCTTGCTATGAGACTCAAAATTGAGCTCAGGTGCATCCTGTTCCATTGATCATCCTTGAGATGTTTCTACAACTTGTTTGGAGTCCACCTGTGGTAAATTCAATTGATTGGAAAGGATTTGGAAAGGCACACACCTGTCTATATAAGGTCCCACAGTTGACAGTGCGAAAACCAAGCCATGAGGTTTAAGGATTTGTTCGTAGAGCTCCGAGACCGGATTGTGTCGATGCACAGATCTGGGGAAGGGTACCAAAAAATTTCTGCAGCATTGAAGGTCCCCAAGAACACAGTGGCCTCCATCACTCTTCAAATGAAGAAGTTTGGAACCACCAAGACTATTCCTAGAGCTGGCCGCCCAGCCAAACTGAGCAATCGGGGGAGAAGGGCCTTGGTCAGGGAGATAGTCATTCTGACAGAGCTCTAGAGTTCCTCTGTGGAGATGGGAGAACCTTCCAGAAGGACAACCATTTAAAAAATTTTTATTTAACTAGGCAAGTCAGTTAAGAACAAATTCTTATTTACAATGACGGCCTACACCGGCCAAACCCGGACGACGCTGGGCCAATTGTGTGCGCCGCTCTATGGGACTCCCAATCAGGGGGTCTGTAGTGACGCCTCAAGCACTGAGATGCAATGCCTTAGACCACTGCGCCACTCTGGAACCATCTCTGCAGCACTCCACCAATCAGGCCTTTATGGTAGAGTGGCCAGACGGAAGCCACTCCTCTGTAAAAGGCACATGACAGCCCACTTGGAGTTTGCCAAAAGGCACCTAAAGGACTCTCAGACCATGAGAAACAAGATTCTCTGGTCTGATGAAACCAAGATTGAACTCTTTGGCCTGAATGCCAAGCATCACGTCTGGAGGAAACCTGGCACCATCCCTACGGTGAAGCACGGTGGAGCAGCATCATGCATTGGGGATGTTTTTCAGCTGCAGGGACTGGAAGACTAGTCACGATCGAGGTAAAGATGAACAGAGAGAGAGATCCTTGATGAAAAACTGCTCCAGAGTGCTCAGGACCTCAGACTGGGGCGAAGGTTCACCTTCCAATCGGACAACGACCCTAAGCACACAGCCAAGACAATGCAGGAGTGGCTTCAGTCTCTGAATGTCTTTGAGTGGCCCAGCCATAGCCCGGGCTTGAACCCGATCTAACATCTCTAGGGAGACCTGAAAATAGCTGTGCAGCGACGCTTCCCATCCAACCTGACAGAGCTTGAGAGGATCTGCTGAGTAGAATGGGAGAAACTCTCCAAATACAGGTGTGCCAAGCTTGTAGCGTCATACCCAAGAAGACTTGAGGCTGTAATCGCTGCCAAAAGGGGCTTCAACAAAGTACTGAGTAAAGCATCTGAATCCTTATGCAAATGTGATATTTCCGTTTTTTTATTTTTAATACATTTGCAAAAATGTCAAGAAACCTGTTTTTACTTTGTTATTATGGGGTATTGTGTGTAGATTGATGAGGAAAAAAACAATTTAATCCATTTTAGAATAAGGCTGTAACGTAACAAAATGTGTAAAAAGTCATGGGGTCTGAATACTTTCCGAATACACTGTATGTTTGGGGCAAATCCAATACAACACATTACTGAGTATCACTCTCCATATTTTCAAACATAGTGATGGCTGTATCATGTTATGGGTATGCTTGTAATTGTTAAGGACTGGGGAGTTTTTCAGGATAAAAAATTAACTGAATGGAGCTAAACACATGCAAAAGCCTAGAGGAAAACCCGGTTCAGTATGCTTTCCACCAGACACTGGGAGATTAATTCACATTTCAGCAGGACAATAGCCTAAAACACAAGGCCAAATCTACACTGTAGTTGCTTACCAAAAAGACAGTGAATTTTCCTGAATGTTCCTGAGTGGCAAGACCTGAAAATGGTTGTCTAGCAATGATCAACAACCAATTTGACAGAGCTTGAATAATTTTTTTAAGAATAATGCGCAACTGTTGCACAATCCAGGCGTGGAAAGCTCTAATCGCTGTAATCGCTACCAAAGGTGCTTTTACAAAGTATTGACTCAGGGGTGTGAATACTTAAGTAAATTAGATATTTATGTATTTCATTTTCTATCAATTTGCTAAAATGTCTAAAAACATGTTTTCACTTTGTCATTATGGGGTATTGTGTGAAAATGGGTGAGAAAAAAACTACTATTTAATCCATTTTGAATTCAGGCTGTAACACAACAAAATGTGGAATAAATCAAGGGGTATGAATACTTTCTGAAGGCACTGTATAAGAAACTGTCTTAACACTAATGCTGCTAAGGTCCTATTGCATTGCAAGTTTGTCACAAGCAGGAAAAAAAGGCCAATCAAAACATTGCAAATCTCAGTACTGTCACGGTTTCGGCCGAGGCTGCCTCTCTCCCTTGTTCGGGCAGGCTTCGGCGTTCGTCGTCTCCGGAATTCTAGCTGCCACCGTTGTATGTTTCATGTTCGTTTGCTTTTGTCTGTTTGTTTTCACACCTGTTTCTATTTTGGGCGTAATTAGTGTCCTATAAGTTTCTCGTTGTGTTTGTCTAGTGTTGTGTGTAATTGATTTTCGTCAGTCGTGTGTTTCGCTCGGTTGAGCTTCTCTCCACTGCGCTGGAGTATTTTCGCACCTGTTTGTGCGCTGTTACTATTTCGCCTTCGTGCGTATTTTCGCCTTCGGGTCAGTTGTCCTTTTGCCTTGGTTTTGGCTTTAATACAAGTCTTTGGATTATCGTTCTGAGTCCTGCGTTTGATTCCACCACTACACCTACAGCACGCCCTGACAGAATTACACACCTACCATGGAATCAGCAGGAGCCGAAGCAGGACAGACGAGACTGGAGGCCCAGGTTCGGGAACAACAGGACCAGATCCTGCAGATGGGGACCGCCCTGCAGGAGGTGATCACCACCCTCCGAGGCTGGGGTACGCCTCCACCGCCTCCCTCCCTGCCAGCACCATCGGCCAGTCCGCCCATTCCAGCGCCGGAACCTCGAGGAGTCCGACTCTCTCTCCCGAGGGCCTACGACGGAACCGCGGCTGGGTGTCAGGGATTCCTCCTCCAGGTGGAGCTATACCTGGCCACCGTGCACCCGGCACCTTCGGGGCATGAGAGCGTGTCCGCCCTGATCTCCTGCCTGGCCGGGAAGGCGTTGGAATGGGCCAACGCGGAGTGGAGGAAGATCGACGCCGCGACTATTACCTACGACGAGTTCTCCCGCCGCTTCAGGGCGGTGTTTTGACCATCCCCCGGAGGGGAAAGCGGCGGGGGAGCGTCTGGTCTTCCTCCGGCAGGGGAGGAGGAGTGCCCAGGAATTCGCTCTCGAATTCCGTACTCTAGCGGCAGATGCAGGGTGGAATGATCGGGCCCTCGTCGATCTATACAGATGTAGCCTACGAGAGGACGTCCGTCGGGAGCTGGCTTGTAGGGACACCAGCCTCTCTTTCGACCAGCTGGTCGACATGTCCATCAGGCTGGATAACCTACTGGCTACCCGCGGACGTCCTGCGGAGGGTCCGTCCATTTCACCCTCCAGCGCCTCCGAGCCGTGTCCCATGGAGCTCGGGGGCGCTGGCGCTAGAGAGAGGAGGAGTCGGCAGGCTAGGGGGTCCATCCACTGCACCAACTGTGGTCGGGGAGGACACACCGCGGCTAGGTGCTGGGGATGGCCTCCTAGGGGAGATGACGACAGGTTCCGCACTGGGGATTCCCTCCAGGTGAGTAGGCACCCCACTCACCCAGAGCTCACTGTTGCCCATTTTTGTATGCCTGTGCGTTTTCCACAGGTAGCACCTCATTCCCAGCATAAGGCGCTGGTAGATTCAGGCGCGGCTGGGAATTTTATTGATAAGAAGTTTTGTTTAGCGTTAGGGATTCCCCTTATTCCTGTTGATGTTCCTTTCCCCGTTCATGCCCTAGATAGCCGTCCGTTGGGTACGGGCTTAATCAGGGAGGTCACGGCGCCACTTAGGATGTGTGCGCAGGGGGATCATCAGGAGATGATTCAGCTGTTCCTGATTGACTCTCCTGCGTATCCGGTGGTGCTGGGCATGCCCTGGTTGAGTACCCATAACCCAGCTATTTCGTGGCAGGAGAGGGCTCTGATGGAGTGGTCTGCTCAGTGTGTGGGTAGATGTTTGGGCGTTTCCGTAGGGGCTACCTCGGTGGAGAGTCCAAACCAGGTGCCCGCATTGCACGTTCCCCCTGAGTATGGGGATTTGGCTATTGCGTTTAGTAAGGCGAGGGCGACGCGGTTGCCACCCCATAGGCAGGGAGATTGTGCGATAGACCTCCAGGCAGGAGCTGCGCTCCCACGGAGCCATCCTCTGTCTCAGGAGGAGAAGAAAGCTATGGAGATTTACATAGACGAATCTCTGAGACAAGGATACATACGGCCTTCCACTTCCCCTGCGTCCTCGAGTTTCTTTTTTGTGAAGAAAAAGGATGGTGGTTTGCGCCCGTGCATCGATTACCGTGGTCTCAATCAGATTACGGTGAAGTACAGTTATCCACTCCTGCTGATTGCGACCATGACTGAGTCGTTGCATGGGGCGCGTTTCTTCACGAAATTAGATCTCAGGAGCGCGTACAACTTGGTGCGCATCAGGGAGGGTGATGAATGGAAGACAGCCTTTAGTACCACCTCGGGCCATTACGAGTATCTGGTCATGCCATACGGGTTGATGAACGCTCCGTCAGTTTTCCAATCATTCGTGGATGAGATCTTCAGGGACATGCAGGGGCAGGGGGTGGTTGTGTACATTGATGACATTCTCGTGTACTCGCCTACCCGTGTCGAGCATGTGGCCCTGGTGCGTAGAGTGTTGCGGAGGCTGGTGGAGCACGACCTGTATGTGAAGGCAGAGAAGTGTCTGTTTTTCCAGGAGTCGGTCTCCTTTTTGGGTTATCAGTTGTCTGCGTCAGGGGTGAAGATGGAGGTAGACCGGGTGTCGGCCGTGCGTAATTGGCAAACACCAACCACTGTGAAAGAGGTGCAGCAGTTTTTGGGGTTTGCAAATTACTACAGGAGGTTTATCCGGGGTTTTGGACAGGTGGCAGCTCCCATCACGTCTCTGTTGAAGGGGGGTCCGGTGCGTCTGCAGTGGTCGGCCGAGGCGGACAGGGCGTTTGGGAGGCTGAAGGACCTGTTTACCTCGGCCCCGGTGCTGGCGCATCCGGATCCCTCTTTGCCGTTCCAGGTAGAGGTGGACGCGTCAGAGGCCAGTTTAGGAGCCGTGCTTTCACAACGGTCTGGCGCGCCACCTAAACTCCGCCCCTGTGCTTTTTATTCTAAGAAGCTCAGTCCGGCGGAGCGGAACTATGACGTAGGGGACCGGGAGCTGTTAGCCGTGGTACAGGCTCTAAAGGTGTGGAGGCACTGGCTTGAGGGGGCTCAACACCCTTTCCTCATTTTGACGGACCACCGTAACCTGGAGTACATCCGGGCGGCGAGGAGGCTGAACCCTCGCCAGGCAAGATGGAGTATGTTCTTGACCAGGTTTACTTTTAAAATCACGTACATCCCTGGGTCACAGAATGGCAAGGCAGATGCGCTGTCTCGGCGGTATGACACGGAGGAGAGGTCCGTGGAGCCCACTCCCATACTGCCTGAGTCGTGTCTGGTGGCACCGGTAGTGTGGGAGGTCGATACTGAACTCGAGCGGGCGTTACGCACCGACCCTAGTCCACCACAGTGCCCGGAGGGTCGGAAGTACGTTCCGCTCGAGGTTCGGGATCGATTGATCTATTGGGCTCACACGTCACCCTCCTCTGGACATCCGGGTATCGGCCGGACAGTGCACTATCTTAGTGCCAAGTACTGGTGGCCCACGTTGGCAAGGGATGTGAGGGTTTATGTTTCCTCCTGCTCGGTGTGCGCCCAGTGTAAGGCGCCTAGACATCTGCCTAGGGGTAAGTTGCTACCCCTGCCCGTTCCACAACGACCATGGTCCCACCTCTCTGTGGACTTTATAACAGACCTTCCCCTCTCCCAAGGGAATACTACTATCCTGGTCGTTGTGGACCGGTTCTCTAAGGCCTGTCGTTTGCTCCCCATGCCGGGTCTTCCTACTGCCCTACAAACTGCCGAAGCACTGTTCACCCATGTGTTCCGGCACTACGGGGTACCCGAGGACATTGTGGCTGATCGGGGTCCCCAATTCACCTCCAGAGTCTGGAGAGCGTTTATGGAGCGGTTGGGGGTCTCGGTGAGCCTCACCTCGGGGTACCACCCGGAGAGTAATGGGCAGGTGGAACGCGTAAACCAGGATGTGGGTAGGTTTCTCAGAACATACTGCCAGGACCGGCCGGAGGAGTGGTCAAGGTACGTTCCCTGGGCCGAGATGGCCCAGAATTCCCTACGCCATTCCTCCACTAACCTAACTCCATTTCAATGTGTGTTGGGTTACCAGCCGGTTCTGGCACCCTGGCAGCAGAGCCAGATCGAGGCTCCTGCGGTGGATGAGTGGGCGCGGCGCTCGGAGGAGACGTGGAACGCTGCACACGTCCACCTGCAACGGGCCCTCCGACGTCAGAAGGCGAGCGCTGATCTCCACCGCAGTGAGGGACCGGTGTACGCACCTGGTGATCGAGTCTGGCTCTCTACCAGAAACCTGCCCCTCCGCCTGCCCTGTCGGAAACTGGGTCGGCGGTTTGTAGGGCCATTTAAAGTCCTGAGAAGGTTGAACGAGGTATGTTATAGATTACAGCTACCTGTGGAGTATAAGTGTATTAACCCCTCGTTCCATGTGTCCCTTCTCAGGCCGGTGGTAGCGGGCCCACTCCAAGAAAATGAGATCTTGGAGACTCCTCCGCCCCCGTTGGACATCGAGGGGGCACCGGCGTACTCCGTGAGGTCCATCTTGGATTCGAGACGTCGGATGGGGGGTCTCCAGTATCTAGTGGAGTGGGAGGGGTACGGTCCGGAGGAGCGGTGCTGGGTGCCGAGGAGAGACATTTTGGACCCGTCGCTCCTGACGGAATTCCATCGGGGGCATCCGACGCGCCCTGCTCCGCGTCCTCCTGGTCGTCCCCGAGGCCGGAGTCGGCGCACGTCTGGAGCCGCGCGTCAAGGGGGGGGGTACTGTCACGGTTTCGGCCGAGGCTGCCTCTCTCCCTTGTTCGGGCAGGCTTCGGCGTTCGTCGTCTCCGGAATTCTAGCTGCCACCGTTGTATGTTTCATGTTCGTTTGCTTTTGTCTGTTTGTTTTCACACCTGTTTCTATTTTGGGCGTAATTAGTGTCCTATAAGTTTCTCGTTGTGTTTGTCTAGTGTTGTGTGTAATTGATTTTCGTCAGTCGTGTGTTTCGCTCGGTTGAGCTTCTCTCCACTGCGCTGGAGTATTTTCGCACCTGTTTGTGCGCTGTTACTATTTCGCCTTCGTGCGTATTTTCGCCTTCGGGTCAGTTGTCCTTTTGCCTTGGTTTTGGCTTTAATACAAGTCTTTGGATTATCGTTCTGAGTCCTGCGTTTGATTCCACCACTACACCTACAGCACGCCCTGACAAGTACAAGCGTGCATTGAAGGTTTTTGATCAGAAACCCGCATATTCATCACCATTGTTAAATTCTCAAGAAACACAATTTGTTAAGTTTTGAAGTTTTTGTAAATGTTCAAATGTAAAGCTGCTTTTTAAATGTGTACATGGACTTGCTCCACAACCCTTAAGTAGTCAAGTGAGTACATTACTATCTACAGTATATGGTCCAATACCAGGGGAGCAGTGAATGGAAACTGTAGTTCCAGTGTGTAGAACAGCTTTTGCTCAATCTGCATTTTCTGTAAAAAACTGTTCACCGCTGGAACCAACTTCCAGAAAATGTAAACGTGTGGCTAGTGTCAGTGCTTTTACACAAAAATTGAAAAAGTGGTTAAATGAACAGCAGGCTTGTAGCCACTTATTAAGCTTTTTTGTTGCTGTTTGTTTTTGTTGCTGTTTTTTACTGTGTTTTTACAACTCATAGATCCAATAGCAATGTGTCTGATGATTCATATGTGCAATGTCTTGACTTCTGTGTGGAAAAGTATCTGTTTGTCCTGACCTGTGTTTTATTTGTATTTTTTATTATTACAGTATGTACATATAAAAAAAATTATGTCTGATGTTTGTATGTTGTCTGTTCGTATAAATAATGTTTTCCTTGTTTATGCTGTACCTGCCCGGGGACTGCAGACGGAAATTAGCTGTTGGCTAAATTTGGTACAACGCATCTGAGACTTATGTTTTGTTGTACAAGGTCCCTGTTCAAATAAATGTAATAATAATGCCAAACAATGTTTGGCAGGACAATGAGTTACAAGGAGTTGGCATGGTAACAAACAGACTGACACTTTACATCACTTCTATTACTCTTTTATTTTTACACTCTTTTCTGAAGCTCCTACCTTCCTTGACGGGAATAGCAGGTTTCTTCTGGCGCAGGCCCAGCAGGATGAAGAAGAGGACCAGGGGGATGAAGATCTCAAAGGCCAACACCCACTGTAGAGAGGGAGGGAGAGAGGGGGAGGGAGGGAGAGAGAGAGAGAGAGAGAGAGAGAGTTAAACCGCTGAACAGCTAAACCACTGTAGGTACAGAAGTTGTTTACCACAGTAAACAGCACACAGGTGTGGCTACAAGGTTGAATTTAGTTAGGTACTACTTTCTTTCCACCACTCCTTGTCGATTCTCATTTACTTGGTGATATATCAGCGTAGTGAAGGGATTGAGTTGACTTAACCCAGTGTCAGTTATTGATCCATTAAATCAGGGAGTTGGTGTGAAGGTTGTCCAGTTTGCTAAACAAGAACTATTGGCTCATGGACTGGGTGCCAAAACGGCCAGTGCTTTCCAAAGTGGTCTGCTACAGAAATTCCTGTATATACTTATGAAGAAAGGGGGGGTATAGAAGATGGAAGATGCAGCACTATATGAAACACCACACTCACACAAACAAATCAGGCCATCTGTGGTTACTACCTGGTGTATATTGGCAGGAAAGTAAACGAGCACTTTCAGTTTCACACGCATTGAGTTAACAGAGAAATCTAGTAGTGGAGCCATATCAGAAGAGCAAGACAGTTACAAAATAGAAACAAAAAACACATAAAACCAGCCATAAACAAAAGCATGTGCTAATGTCTAATTATCCTCTAAGGGGATTTTTTAAAAAAACACTTCACATTTGTTGTTTTATTATGATATTTTTTTTTTGGGGGGGGGTAGATCAGCTTTAATATTGCAGATAGATTGTAGTGTCACGGACGTTGAACTGGACCCCGGTGGAGCGGACTGCTCTGGTTCCGGAGTGGAGAGGGGCTGACGTCTGGGTCTGGACTGGAGCCGCTGACCGGAGCTGGACCGGGCACCGGTGGAGCGGACTGCTCTGGCTCCGGACTGGAGCTGCTGACCGGAGCAGGAACAGGCCGGGCCGGACTGGGAACACGCACCACTGGCTTGGTGCGAGGAGCAGGAACGGGCCGTGCTGGGAACACGCACCACTAGCTTGGTGCGAGACGCAGGCACAAGGTGTACCGGACTGGGAACTGACGTTAGAGATCTCCGACTGTACCAGTCTTTCACTCTCCTCGCCCAGTCCTCCTACCGTGAGGACTCCTCCCTGAGCCCCCACGAGTGCAGTGGTCGGGGCTCTTCTCCATCGATCCCCGACCACCCTTTTAGCCCCCCCAAAATGTTTTCTTGGGGCTGTCTCTCGGGCTTCTTCCTCGGCCGGCGCCTTCTGTGTTGCCGTTGCTCTTCTCTAAACCGGGCCTCCACTGTCTCCTCCCAAGGACGGCAATCCATCCCAGCCTGAATCTCCTCCCATGTCCAGGATCCCTTTCCGTCCAGGATCTCCTCCCATGTCCAGGCTGTCTGCTCCTGGGCACGCTGCTTGGTCCGTGTTTGGTGGGATCTTCTGTCACGGACGTTGAAGGACGGGTCAGACCAAGGCGCAGCGTGAAAGGCATACATGTTTATTTCACTGATAAACACACAAAACAAAACAACAAACCAACGAACCGTGAAGTCCTAAGGCTAAACACAAAACAAGCCTCTAACACGGAACAAGATCCCACCACTAATGAGTGCCAATAGGCTGCCTAAGTATGATCCCCAATCAGAGACAACGAGCGACAGCTGCTTCTTATTGGGAATCACACCCGGCCAAACATAGAACTACACAACCTAGAATACAATATAGAAATACTAACATAGAACTCCACACCCGGACTCAATACAAGAGTCCCATGGAGTTCAGGGCGTGACATGTACTTCCAATTGTTTTATACCCTTTGTTGGCAATGACACTGGTCAAAGGTTTTCACACACTGTTGCTGGTCTTTTGGCCCATTCCTCCATGCAGATCTCCTCTAGAGTAGTGATGTTTTGGGGCTGTCGCTGGGCAACATGGACTTTCAACTCCCTCCAAAGATTTTCTATGGGGTTGAGATCTGGAGACTGGCTAGGCCACTCCAGGACCTTGAAATGCTTCTTACGAAGCCACTCCTTCGTTGCCCGGGCGGTGTGTTTGGGATCATTGTCATGCTGAATGACCCAGCCACGTTTCATCTTCAATGCCGTTGCTAATGGAAGGAGGTTTTCAGTCAAAATCTCACGATACATGGCCCCATTCATTCTTTCCTTTACACGGATCAGTCGTCCTGGTCCCTTTGCAGAAAAACAGCCCCAAAGCATGATGTTTCCACCCCCATGCTTCACAGTAGGTATGGTGTTCTTTGGATGCAACTCAGCATTCTTTGTCCTCCAAACACGACGAGTTGAGTTTTTACCAAAAAGTTCTATTTTGGTTTCATCTGACCATATGACATTCTCCCAATCCTCTTCTGGATCATCCAAATGCACTCTAGCAAACTTCAGACGGGCCTGGACATGTACTGGCTTAAGCAGGGGGACACGTCTGGCACTGCAGGATTTGAGTCCCTGGCGGCGTAGTGTGTTACTGATGGTAGGCTTTGTTACTTTGGTCCCAGCTCTCTGCAGGTCATTCACTAGGTCCCCCCGTGTGGTTCTGGGATTTTTGCTCACCGTTCTTGTGATCATTTTGACCCCACGGGGTGAGATCTTGCGTGGAGCCCCAGATCGAGGGAGATTATCAGTGGTCTTTTATGTCTTCCATTTCCTAATAATTGCTCCCACAGTTGATTTCTTCAAACCAAGCTACTTACCTATTGCAGATTCAGTCTTCCCAGCCTGGTTCAGGTCTAGAATTTTGTTTCTGGTGTCCTTTGACAGCTCTTTATACATACGCACATACATACATACATATAAATACATATACATACATTTATTCCTTTATTACTTTCCAACCCTACCACCCCTCCCCTAATTGGAGTAAACGAGTGAACAACAACCCTTAGGCCTTTACTTCCTGCTTGTACACTACCGGTCAAAAGTTTTAGAACACCTACTCATTCAAGGGTTTTTCTTTATTTTTTTACTATTTTCTACATTGTAGAATAATATTGAAGACATCAAAACTATGAAATAACACATATGGAATCATGTAGTAACCAACAAAGTGTTAAACAAATCAAAATATATTTTATATTTGAGATTCTTCAAATAGCCACCCTTAAGACAGCTTTGCACACTCTTGGCATTCTCAACCAGCTTCATGAGGTAGTCACCTGGAATGCATTTAAATTAACAGGTGTGCCTTCTTAAAAGTTAATTTGTGGAATTTCTTTCCTTCTTAATGCGTTTGAGCCAATCAGTTGTGTTGTGACAAGGTAGGGGGGGTATACAGAAGATAGCCCTATTTGGTAAAAGACCAAGTCCATATTATGGCAAGAACAGCTGAAATAAGAAAAACAATAGTCCATCATTACTTTAAGACATGAAGGTCAGTCAATACAGAACATTTCAAGAACTTTGAAAGTTTCTTAAAGTGCAGTCGCAAAAACCATCAAGCACTATGATGAAACTGGCTCTCATGAGGACCGCCACAGGAATAGAAGATCCAGAGTTACCTCTGCTGCAGAGGATAAGTTCATTAGAGTTACCAGCCTCAGAAATTGCAGCCTCAGAAATTGCAGCCCAAATAAATGCTTCACAGAGTTCAAGTAACAGACACATCTCAACATCAACTGTTCAGAGGAGACTGTGTGAATCAGGCCTTCATGGTCAAATTGCTGTTAAGAAACCACTACTAAAGGACACCAATAAGAAGAAGAGACTTGCTTGGGCCAAGAAACATGAGCAATGAACATTAGACCGGTGGAAATCTGTCCTTTGGAGATTTTTGGTTCCAATCGCTGTGTCTTTGTGAGACGCGGTGGGGGTGAACAGATGATCTCCGCATGTGTATTTCCCACCGTAAAGCATGGAGGAGGAGGTGTTATGGTGTGGGGGTGCTTTGCTGGTGTCTGTTATTTATTTAGAATTCAAGGCTCACTTAACCAGCATGGCTACCACAGCATTCTGCAGCAAAACGCCATCCCATCTGGTTTTGGCTTAGTGGGACTATCATTTGTTTTTCAACAGGACAATGACCCAACACACCTCCAGGCTGTGTAAGGGCTATTTTACCAAGAAGGAGAGTGATGGAGTGCTGCATCAGATGACCTGGCTTCCACAATCCCCCTACCTCAACTAAATTGAGATGGTTTGGGATGAGTCGGACCACAGAGTGAAGGAAAAGCACCCAACAAGTGCTCAGCATATGTGGGAACTATTTGTCCCAACTTTCAGCTCCATTCAACCCGTCCCATCTATCTCTTAACACCATCCATATTGGATTTCTATTTGCCATATATTTTTCAACTGTGCTGTGATGTTTCACAAAAGTTCTGAACCTTTCTATTCTCATTGTTTCTACAGATTGTAAATTGAAAATAAACAATTTTGCAAAAATTATTATTATATTATTGATCGATTGACTATGACTTTTCAGATCACCCAGTAGTTGTGATGTGTGATTTGAAGGAGTCAGGCGGAGGAGGGTAAATCACAGAATACAGAATTTATTCCAGAATCCAGAGTTACATAGAAATGCGTCAAACAGTACAGTGCGCAATACAGGCGCACTGGAACCAAACAGGCACACAGGGAAAAATACCCTGGCAATACAAAATACACAGAGCTCAACCAAGCTACACTCTCCTCACAATAAACAATGCACACAAGGACAAGGGGGCATAGGGAACACTTATACAAGTACTAATGCGGGTATATGAACCAGGTGTGTGTAATAAACAAGACAAAACAAATGGAATGATGAGATGAGGAGCGGCAGTGGCTAGAAGGCCGGTGATGACGAACGCCAAAGCCTGCCCAAACCAGGAGAAGAGGCAGCTTTGGAGGAAGTCGTGACAGTGGTGCTATCTGCAGGGTTAGCTCCAGGTAAATATATGTTGTTTTATTACTTTAATTTATTCAGTGCTGCTCTCTCTTGATTGACTTGCCAGTTGCCTCGATAGATAAAGGTTAAATAAAAAAAAGGGGGTCTAATTGTTCCTCCTTAGCCTCTCTATGAGAGACGCTGCCACTCTCTAAACATTCAATTATACGTGCCTTGAACCCAACAAAGTGATGATTCATAAATCACATCAAGAACGTTGAGGAATGGTAGCTACGGTTTATGCATGCTGATCAGTATTCAACAGCGAGAGAGAGAGAGAGAGAGAGACAGAGAGAAAGAGAGAGATAGATGCAGAGAGGAGGGAGTGTAAAGGAGAGAGGGGAGAGAGAGAGAAGAGAGAGAGAAAGCGAGAGAGAAGAGTGAAAAGGAATAATGAAAACAAGAGTGTGTGACAAAAGGACAGAGCGGTGTGCTGATTTTCTCTTCTCTCCCGAGTGTTCAAATAGCTGAAGGTCTCTCTGCGCTGCGGGAGTCTGTGTTCTCCTAGACAAGAGAAATCATTTGAGATGCAGACTCTGACCCTAACTCCATCCTCTGCTACAGTCTTCTCTGCTGGGACTCGCATGGCCCATATAGGCCAAGCAAGCCTCACTCTATGGGAGTGGCAAACACCGGTCACCTGAGGGGACATGGTGTGCGTTCCAATTGAGTCTCTATAGGCCCTGGTCAAAAGTAGTGCACTACATAGGGAATAGAGTGCCATTTGGAACGCAGTCAAGTTCTCCTCATCTATGCTGGTCACCTGGTCTAACCCTCTGTTTAATTAGATCTGTCCTGGTTTAAACCCTGTCCTGATTTCCCATTCTACAGCTGAAGTTCCCTGCATTGTTGGGTACAATGACTGATAATGCATATAATAAGCTTAACATTAACATACAAATGTTGTATGGACATGATGTAGGGCTTTGTTGGACAAAATAATGTTTATATTATAATGCAAAACACGTCACTTAAGGGGTAGTATGGAGATGAGAGTGTACTTACAGACAGACAGACTGAGGGTGGGATTGTAGTGCTGTGGGTTTAAGGGTCAGAGATGGTGTGTGTGGGAGACAGATGACGTTATTGACACAATGGGAGTTTAAGAGCACCAGTCAGAGTACACAGATTACCTCATACTACGGCATGGTGTCATGGTACCCAGCACCAGGGAAACAGTGCTCTCTCTCTCTCTCTCTCTGCATGGGAAACGTAAGTTAACATTGCCAAAGCAAGTGAAGTAGACAGTAAACAAAAGTGAAATAAATATTAGCAGTAAACATTACACTCAGAAGTTACAAAAGAATAAAGACATTTATGATGTCATATTATGTATATATACAGTGTTGTAACAATGTGCAAATAGTTAAAGTACAAATGGGAAAATAAATGAACATAAATATGGGTTGTATTTACAATGGCGTTTGTTCTTCACTGGTTGCCCTTTTCTTGTGGCAGCAGGTCACAAATCTTGCTGCTATGATGGCACACTGGGGTTTTTCACCCAGTAGATAAGGGAGTTTATCAAAATTGGGTTTTTTGTTTTCGAATTCTTTGTGGATCTCTGTAATCTGAGGGAAATATGTGTCTCTAATATGGTCATACATTTGGCAGGAGGTTAGGAAGTGCAGCTCAGTTTCCACCTCATTTTGTGGGCAGTGTGCACATAGCCTGTCTTCTCTTGAGAGCCAGGTCAGCCTACAGCGGCCTTTCTCAATAGCAAGGCTATGCTCACTGAGTCTGTACATAGTCAAAGCTTTCCTTAAGTTTGGGTCAGTCAAAGTGGTCAGGTATTCTGCCACTGTGTACTCTCAGTTTAGGGCCAAATAACATTCTAGTTTGCTCAGTTTTTTTGTAAATTCTTTCCAATGTGTCAAGTAATTCTCTTTTTGTTTTCTCATGATTTGGTTGGGTCTAATTGTGTTGTTGTTCTCGCTCTCTCTCTCTCGCGCACACACACACACACACAGTGCAAGAGCAAGGGCCACCTGTCCAATCACAGGCTGGATGCTGAGTGCAGTCACCGGAAAGAGGGAGGATGGATAAGTGACTGAGTGACAACGCAGGTGTGTGTGTGTGTGTGATGTACTCTCTTCACCCTGCTCTGTCCCAGTCGTCTCTTGTTCACAGGAGAGACAGCGGGGTCAGACATTCTGTCTCTGTGTCTATCTGTGAAGGTCATGACGGACAAACAGCTCTTTGACATGGTTCTCTCACAATGCACTGACACACTCAACAAAGCTTCCATTCTAAGATCCTGAGTAGTAAACACCACCGCTCTCTCTCTGTGTATACACACATGCATGAACAAACACATACAGTACACACACACACAGACACATGCACACACACACACTCAAACATACACACATGCATGCAAGCACACACGCGCGCACGCATGCACATGCACACACACACACACACACACGCAAGCGCACACACACAAACACACAAACTGCAGGAAATCACTGTCCAGAGGGAGCGCTTGTTTCTTGCTAGAATTCCTCAAGCTTATTGATTTCCGTGCCCTGAAAGGACAAACACAAACTTTTCATTAGAATATTAAATAGCTTTCCTTCCGAATCAGTGACTTTGAAAGTGCCTGTTTGAGTTTTTCCTCCCCCAAATTTGCATGTAGAAGGTATATCTTCCATTATTTATAGGTGTGCCAATGCGTCTATCTGCAGCTGCTGTCCTCAATACTGAGTGCAGAGGTAGTTTACAGAGGTACAGGTTTACTGTAACACATACACACACACACACACACACACACAGACACACACACACACACACTATAAAGAGATTCTGGGACTACAGGCTTCACAGGTAATCTGATGTCATTTAACAAACAACATCCCTCACCTCTGTAGTAGATACACTTTAGCACTAAGAAAATACCTAACAAACACTCACAAACTATCCACTATCTAGGCAACCCGAACACCACTCAGATATGGGCCCTGACATGGTCTGCAGTCCACAGGAGGCTGCTGAGGGTAGGACTGCTCATAATAATGGCCGGAACGGAGTTAATGGAATGGCAATTAAGGTGCCACCAACCTCCTGTGCTGCAGTACCACACAAGATAAAAAAACAAAAACCCACTTATTCCACTGACAAATCATCCAGCATAAAAATGGTTGGTGTTAAATATATTGTAGTGTCAAGGATCTCAACAAGTATAAAGCTATACCACAACATATTAAATAGCATTCCCCTTGCCTATATATTTATAGTATTCCCAAAGGTATCACTTGTGAGAATTCTCACTTTAGACAGGATTATTTCAATACTAACAACAAAAAGCAGTGAAACCTTAGTGTGTTTCTTTCCCACCCAGGGAGAGTCTAATGAATGGAAAGAGTGTGATTCAATAACAAGGACCAACAGAGAGAGAGAGAGAACAGGGAGGGAAATATGATTTTAAAGTCCTAGGGAATTGCATTCCAGCCATGCCATGCAAACATTTCCCACTGAGTCATTGTACAGGCTGCGTTCCAAATGGCGCCCAATTCCTTATGCAGTGCACTACTTTTGACCAGGGCCCATAGGGCTCTGGTCTAAAGTTGTGCACTATATAGGGTATAGGGTGCCATTTGTGACGAGCCCACAATGTAGCCAATGTCTGAGATTTAAGGATGTGTGGGTGGGTGGGTGGGGGGAGATGGAAAAATGAAATGCCTGAATTTTGCAGAGCAGCTTATCCAAAGGGTTCAATCAGTCACTCAACAGGCAAATAGAGCACACAGTAGAGCCGGAATGGAACCATGGTCAATTGCACTGGATTGATTCTCCATACTACTAGGCCAGCTTGAGCCGCAGACAGACACTTATTTCCCCAGGGAAGGGCCCTACCTGACTGCTTAGAGGAATAGCCTTAGTCTATAAATAGTGTCTTCCTCTGACCTGCAGAATCAATCAAACATAGATTTGTTTATCTTCTTTTTTAATGGGCATTGGTGTTGATTGACTGGTTACTGATGACTGTGAAACTGGACTATCAGCGTTTGAACTGGAATTCATTTGTACGGGTCACCATGGCCACGTTCCAGGCTGACTAAATTGGAGACACATGTCAGTTCCCACAACACCTGGATACTGTAGGTGTTTATGTGCCCTTGAGCAAGGCACTTAACCCTAATTTGCTCCAGGGGCGCCGTACTACTATGGCTGACAACACATTTCAATGCACCTATCCAGTGTATGTGACAATAAAGACATACTTTTTGTAATGTGATATTATGTTAATACTGTATTATTCGGTAACCACATCATATGATATAGCAATCTGATGCCCGTCTGCACAGTCCATGACGTGGCACACAACCATTGGTTGATGGAATACAACGTCTGCAATGTAATCGGCCTGGATTGTGACCAATATTTCCTGTGGACACCTTCCTCTCTAAATGGGTCAGTGAAGGGACGTAGGGAGAAGAATGGTCCAATGTCCAGGCTGTAATGACCCAATTAGTAGTGGTTCATTAACAAATTCCAACAAAGGAAAAAATAACACACCTAAGAATAATATTTTACCCAAATTATTTTACTCTCTCAATAACATACTGTAAGAAGTATACAAAGTTACAGTAGCTAGGTTTCCATCCAATTGGCGACAGATTTTCATGTGAATATTCGAAATTGTGCATAAAAACTATGTGCGCGCTCCCGGGTGGCACAGTGGTCTAAGGCACTGCATCGCACTACAGCCTCGGGTTCGATCCCAGGCTGTGTCACAGCCGGCCGTGACCGGGAAACCCATGTGGCGGCGCACAATTGGCCCAGCGTCGTCCGGGTTAGTGGAGGGTTTGGCCGGCTGGGATTTCCTTGTCTCATCGTGCTCTAGCAACTCCTTGTGGCGGGCCGGGCGTGTGCAAGCTGACTACGGTCGTCAGTTGGACGGTGTTTTCTCTGACACATTGGTGCGGCTGGCTTCCGGGTTAAACGAACAATGTGTCAAGAAGCAGTGTGGCTTGGCAGGGTCGTGTTTCGGAGGACGCATGGCTCTCGACATTCGCCTCTTCCGAGTCCGTAGGGGAGTTGCAACGATGGGACAAGATCGTAACTACCAATTGGATATCACGAAAAAAGGGGGTCATTTTTATATTTTTAACAACTATGTGTGCATTTCTCCACCAAATTTCATCAAATTGACTTGTTGTGGATAAAAGGCTGCGCGTGATGACGTAGTGCATGCGGTTAAATTCCCATGTACCGGATTAAAAAATTTAAGTTTATTTTTAATCTTTATTTAACTAGGCAAGTCAGTTAAGAACAAATTCTTATTTACAATGACAGCCTACACCGGCCAAACCCGGACGACGCTGGGCCAATTGTGCGCTGCCTAATGGGACTCCCAATCACGGCCGGTTGTGATACAGCCTGGAATTGAACCAGGGGGTCTGTAATGACGGCTCAAGCACTGAGATGCAGTGCCTTAGACCGCTGTGCCACTTGGGAGCCCTGTTAATTGTTAGTTAAAAGTTAATTGGGGTTCCATCGCATTTTCAACTCTACTGATTGTTTTGTAAAAAACAATGTTGCGTTATATAGCGAATGTGCCCACTCTGGTCTTGGCACGCTCGGCGCGCTCCAGCCAACAGCTCGGAGATACAGTGTGGGTAAGCTTGCCTACATGATGAGATTATTATGGACAAAAGAGCAAGATCATTTTTATTTGACTTCACAGTGTGGTGAAAGTGCATGGTGATTGATGCTCCTTCCCAATAAATATTGAGGGTCTTACTCTAGTGACATGATGATGTAGCCTAATAAACGGCATGCTTTCCCAGGTCATAGTGGGAGGACCACACAACATATCCATCGTGTGACTCCAAGGTTACGTCGATATGATGGTTATTATATCAATATTTGCGAATAAAGGAGTTTCCATCGCCATTTCTCGCATAATTAATTTTAGAGACACAAAAAGATCCCACCTTGTCTAGCGTATTTGGTTTTGTCGACATTTGGAAAGTTTACAGACAAATTTACTGATTCTATCGTGACATTTCTTATCTACTTTACTCGCTTAAAAAGGTTGGATGGAAACCTGGTTACTGAGCAGGAAGAAACGGGAGTATTTTCTGCTCAACTCTGCACATCTTTGTGTTGTTAATTACCAAGCAAACTGTGAGCATCACAAACAAACTTGGATCTTTCTGCTTGTGTATCTGTCGCTTTTAATCAATACCAGTCAACTCAGGACCACATGGGCCTTTATGCATGAAATATATCAAAATTAGCAGCTTCATCACAGCAATTAGTAGTGGAGATTCTGTCTCTGGGACCTTTCATTGTTTTACCCTGCAACTAAGAACAACTGAACACACTCTTGTACCCTCTATTCTGCGGTCTTCTACTTTCACTGTCTCTTTCTCTCTCGCTCTCGCTCTCTCTCTCTCTCTGCCTATCTCTCTTTCTCTCTCTGCCTCTCTCTCTCTGCCTCTCTCTCTCTCTGCCTCTATCTCTGCCTCTCTCTCTCTCAGCCTCTCTCACTGCCTCTATCTCTTTCTAGCTTTCTCTCTCTCTTACCTTCTCTCTCTACGTACAGTTGAAGTCGGAAGTTTACATACACCTTAGACAAATACATTTAAACTCAGTTTTTCACAGTTCCTGACATTTAATCCTAGTAAAACTTCCCTGTCTTAGGTCAGTTACGATCACCACTTTATTTTAAGAATGTGAAATGTCCGAATAATAGTAGAGAGAATTATTTATTTCAGCTTTTATTTCTTTCATCACATTCCCAGTGGGTCAGAAGTTTACATACACTCAATTAGTATTTGGTAGCATTGTCTTTAAATTGTTTAACTTGGGTCAAACGTTTCGGGTAGCCTTCCACAAGCTTCTCACAATAAGTTGGGTGAATTTTAGCCCATTCCTCCTGACAGAGCTGGTGTAACTGAGTCAGGTTTGTAGGCCTCCTTGCTCGCACACGCCTTTTCAGTTCTGCCCACACATTGTCTATAGGATTGAGGTCAGGGGTTTGTGATGGCCACTCCAATACCTTGACTTTGTTGTCCTTAAGCCATTTTGGCACAACTTTGGAAGTATGCTTGGGGTCATTGTCCAGTTGGAAGACCCATTTGCGACCAAGCTTTAACTTCCTGACTGATGTCTTGAGATGTTGCTTCAATATATCCAGATAAT